TCCATGTTGGGATCGGATCTAATTCACATGACTTTGATGGACTCTTCTTTATTATGCGTGCTATCTCACTTTCTGATGTTGGTCTGATGGTACTAAAGCACTGTCCATTGAACTTTTTATCTGGAGTTATTATGTTCGGTTGGTTCTGTTGTAGGTCGACACGGATGTTCTCAATCTTGGTATTGAAGAAATCAGCAAAACGATTCGCAAGATCCAGTTCACTGTTATGATTAGGCAGAATGGCAGATTGAGGTCAGTGTGATGGTGACGTGAGGTCAGATTGAGGGCAGTGTGAAGGTGACGTAATTGTGAAGTGAGGTCAGATAGAGGGCAGTGTGAAGGGGGTGTGATGGTGAAGCGAGGTCAGATTGAGGGCACTGTGAACGTGACTTGAGGTCAGACTTAGGGCAGTGTGAAGATGACGTGATGGTGACTTGTGAAGGTGACGTGATGGTGACGTGAGGTCAGATTGTGGGCAGCGTCAATCTAACATCACGTCACTATCACGTCAACGCGGTAGTTAAAATTTTAGATTCATGTAACGATAATAAAAATGCAAAAGCTTTCTGGGCAGAAGTGAAGTTTCATATCAGAAAGCCTCCAGTAACATTTTCAACTATACTCATGCCAATAATGGCTGTCACCCCCTTCAATTTTTGTAATTGGAGAGGGGGTGTGGGATGGGGGTGTGAGGTGTGTTTTGGGTTGGGGTGGGGAGGGGGGTGACAACCATTATTGGCATGAGTATATTAGTGTTGCACAATGGATTGAATATTTTAAGGCTGTGCTGAACATTACTGAAAATGTAATAGATAAGGATTTTGTTGCATTTTGTAGCAGTGTCGTCACAGAACATGAAGATGTGAATTGTAATGTTTGTAATGATCAGGATATCAACACTTTGAACAGTGATGTTACGGTAGAAGAGGTCTTAAGTGCAACTGATGCCTTGACATGTGGCAAAGCAGCTGGTCCCGATGGTATCCTGCCCGAAATGTTAAAGTGTGGTAAAAATATCTTACTTCCTTATCTCCTTACTGTTTTCAATAATATATTTAGAAGTAGTATTTTTCCAGATCAGTGGTCCAGAAGTATTATCTTTCCACTCCACAAGAAAGGAAGCGTTCATTATGTCAACAACTTTCGTGGTATTTCACTCATGGACATTTGTGGCAAGGTTTTTACACAAGTTTTGAATAACAGATTAAAATCTTTGTAGACTTGTATGATAAATATCCAGAGTGTCAAGCTGGCTTTCGGAAGGGGTATTCTACGGTTGATAATATGTTTACTCTCCAGTCTCTAGTACAGAAATACTTATCTAAATCAAAAGGAAGGTTTTATTGTCTATTTGTCGATTTTCAAAAGGCTTTTGATTCCGTCAACAGGGAACTTTTGTGGTATGTCCTTTATTCAAATGATATTCTTGGTAAAGTTTTTACTATCATTAAGGACATGTATTCAAAAACTTTGGCCTCTGTTAAAATATCTAGGAGCAATTTCACGGATTATTTCAATTGTTTCAGTGGTGTTAGACAAGGATGCATTTTAAGTCCTCTCTTATTTTCATTGTTCATAAACCAGCTGGAAAATGACATTCAGCATTTCGGTGGCAGGGGGATCTTTGTTCATGAAGATTTATTAGAGTTCTTTATACTTCTCTATGCTGATGATTTATGAATTTTTGCAGATTCTGTTCTCGAGTTACAAAAGAAAATAGACGTTTTACACACGTTTTGTAACAAATGGGGCTTAAGAGTCAATTTAGATAAGACTTAAATAATGTTTTTTCGAAATGGTGGCAAATTAAGGAAATATGAAAAATGGAAACTGGGCGATGTCCCAATCAAGATATCAACCTACTATTGTTATCTCGGTATCATTTGTCCAAAACTGTACAAACATTAGTCCAGAAAGCTACTAAAGCTGTGGTTTCCATTCATCAACTAAGTTATAAACTTCGTAATATTTCTCCAAAGGTTCTGTTTAAAATGTTTGACTCACAAATCAAACCAATAATTCTGTATGGTTCAGAGATTTGGGGTGTCCGCCAGTGGTTGTTTCTTGAACTGCGGGGTCCTGTGGAAATCTGTGCATGGTGACACCATCGCCCGACTCCTAGGAGCAATTGACGACAAGCAACGATTCGGCATGTCGTCGTTGATGTCGAGAAATCATCAAAATGATGAACGTGCTACACACTTTCTATACAACTAACTGAAAATCGTTCCTCATATGACGTCACTGCAGTGCTCTGGCGACAGAGTTACGTAACCTGTCTGTGGTTTCGTTGGCGGGCGAGAGTGAAACAGGCGACTTTTTGGCAACTTTTAATCGCTCGGTATTAATTAACCACAAGTTTTTTAAGAATGAATTTGGTGTTCCGCATAAGTCTAACCACAAATCTTTCATATGTAATAGTTAAAAGAATACAAAAAACTAAGTTTATTTGTTCTTTAAGCTAAATTTTGTAAATTTGTTTTGGGGGTTGGCTCCTAATCTACCAATGTTGCTGTATTGGGCGAATGTGGCCGTTATGGTATTTACGTAGTTACATATGTCAGATGTATAAGATACTGGTTGAAACTTCTTAATATGTCTCAAAACAGGTACCCCAAACAGTGTTATAGTATGTTAGTAGGTTTAGATGCAGCTGGTAGGGAAACTTGGGTTACTCATATTAAGCATCTATTGTATTCTCTAGGTTTTGGAATAGTTTGGCAATACCAAGGTGTTGGTGATGTGGGTTGCTTTATAAATGAATTTAGGCTTAGGGTTAAAGATTGTTATACTCAAACATGGTATTCTGAGGTGTCAAACTGTTCCAAACTACATTTGTATGCAGAGTTCAAAGTGTCCCTCCTTCCCGAGCTATACCTAAGCAGTTTACGTAAAGAATACGCACGCATGCTTACCTTGTTCAGAATCGGCGAACTCGATATAATAATAATACATAATATTCAAATGTTCCCAAAGTGTGCACCTTGACTTAATGTGATCGATCAAGCCTGATGTCGTTCGGCAGCCATACAGCAGGAACATTGCCGCGTTAAATAACAAACAAACAAGCACAATGCCGTTCATTGGATAGGGTGCTTGGGTGTGTGAATTATATTTTGGAAACTTTGATTAAAATGATTAAACACGACTTCCATAACAACTATTGATCGAATTACAACACTGTGTATCAATATACTGCATAATGACAGAATGTCTTGGTTGTCATGAGTTTGTTACCGTGACTCGAATCCTTCATTATTTCCGACATATTGTAAAGAAACACCCTTCTTTTTGGATAATGTGTACATATTTACTTAATTACTACATTTCGTTCACCCACGTCATAGAGGGCGCTGAATAGCTTAGTGGAGAAAGTGTTCTCTCATCAGACCTTCTGTTCTCTGCAAGGGTGCTCTGTGTAAAGCTATTACCCGTGTCCCCAGCCGTCATGTGATCTGAACATTGATGAAAGCAGCAGAAAACCACTTTGGTAATTGTTATGACAATGCAAATATCAGATTCACACATATGCCAATACTTGATAATGATCTGTTCGTGTTTATTCCCAATGTCGTTTGCACTTCCACATCGTGTTTTAATCTTCAAATGGAGTACTGATCAACAGTAAAATATAATTTTAAATAATTTTACTACTAATGCATATTTCATATAACACTTATTCCAATAGAATAATTAAACATGAATTTTCGACTACGTAGTCATTACCGTTCACCTTTAACAATTACAACACAGTTTACAGATGGCAAATAACAATCATTCACAGCCCGGAAACACAAGAGTGTATATTACCTATCGCCTAAGACCCCCCGTGGTAAAACTATCTATTACCAAAGCATTGTCTATTTATTAGCACCTGTCGTATATCTACTCTGTCAAAGGATTTAAGCTCGACTGCGCACACATACAAGCGTGGATTTCAGGTATGGGAACATGGTGGCCTGCATTGTTGAAATCAAAGAATTGTTTTTTCATTTTCATCACGATATTCGGGTTGTATAAAAATGAAGATAATGATTACATAGTAAAACCCCGTTAATCCGGGGGATATAGTGCAATACCTGCTCTGACGCACACAGTGCTTATACAGACTTATATGATCCATATGAATAACAGATAGTAAATAGAAACACTTGACCTCATTGTTGCCATGGAGACTGTATTTGCTGATTTCATTACGTGCTACAAGAATGCATGAATGCCTGTACATCCCCTTATATTTGGTAAAACTACAAAGGTTAAAAAGGGAGAATCTTTAATTATTTTTGTTAAAAAGAATATTTTCTTCAGTCGACGCTTCTAAACTAACATTTTAAAGGAGAGTCAAACACCTGTTAGTTGCAATCATTAGTTTGTAGAACAACCGGCATGTCTTCGGGACAATTAACATGCTTTTGTAAAACCAGAGGACAAGTGTTTCTGTTCTAAAAATAGTAATCCAGTCGCAAGGCGTCTATGTTTCTGTTTTATCATTTATATTTAATGTGACTTATGAAATATTTGTCATGAACATTTTATCATCATCAACATAACATGTGTTTGTAACAGCGGCGATGACACTCTATTTCGCTGCCTAAAGCTGCGTACCTGAGACGTGCTAAAACAATAAATGTAATTTTGAATCCCCCCCCCTCTCTCTCTCTCTCTCTCTCTCTGTCTCTCTCTCATACACACACACAGAGAGAGAGAGAGAGAGAGAGAGAGAGAGGGAGAGAGAGGGAGAGAGAGAGGGGGGGATTCAAGTGAGAGACACTTCGAACCAAAGGGGGGTATCCTTTATGTCCATATCCAACTATATAACGTACGTCACACAAAACGTTATTCACGTGCCATATTCACGTGCATGTGTTTAGAGGTTTTCGAATTACAATTTCCCGGTTAAACAGGTATGACCTGAAAACAACAATTGAACAATTGAAGGGCTGTTCAATGTTTCCATTCAGCCATCGGTCCAGGGACATTGTCGAACAAACACTTCACAATTTACATGCTCGAGTCGTAATCAAATACGACCATTTATCAAAATCAGTCTATCACAGTGTATGCATATCACAGATATATTCGCTGTGTAACATTTTCCCGAGGTCAATGCACATTTTAATAAATCATCAATATCAAGTATTTCAAGCAGGTTCAAATATTTGGTATATTTGTAGGAAATCAAGGTAACTAAACATGTATAGTAATGATTGTGCTACATTTCCAAACTAGATTTGTGACCAATAACACATGCATTGTCTTTTGTAAGGCTCATCACAAAATTCACAGAGTAACAGCAAAATATAAGAAAACATTGTGTCGTGATCTGGTACTGTTTGAAAGGAAAGGATAAATTATGATCCACGAGCCTTGAACGATTTAAGAAAGGGACAAAGCGTTAACCAAAGAAATGTTATTATGGAATTACCAGCCGTGTTCATATAAATGAACGATAACACCCAAACACCTATTATTACACTGTAAGAGTAAAACGTTCGAGAGACGTAGGTACAACTATAGTGTCAAAACATCATACTCAGTGAATCAGTTCCTCCCAGTTTCAAGCCATACCTTTACTTTATCGTATAATTAGTTCGAACATGGAAGTGTGAGAAATAATTGAATACGTCCGATACGGTTGGTATACCTTTCGATGTGTTCGTCCTTTCCTGCACAAGATAGACACGCAATATGTCCCAGCATTCAGGCAATCTGCTCTGTGGGTCTGGGATGTACACGGTGGTAAAGTGAACGCAACAACGTTTCTTCATCACATGTGCTTACAAGGTTATTCCAATACCACACAGACATTCGGCGTCATGAACGACATTTGACGTCGTTGTCAACATTCGGTGTGGTGGTCCTACTGATCAACGATTGGTCCTGAGAATATGAAGAAATTGCATTTGTTGAAGTCTCGTGGAAAATCCAAGTCGAGAACTTCGAGTAGATCGTGAGGGCTCATTTGTAAGACGGACTATCTGAAATTGCCCCAGTTGATTATCTATTGCAATAAAAAAAACAGCATCATGAACAGCAAATATCTTTTGAGGCGATATAACATCATAGAGTCTATAGAGTCCTTATCAATCTAATAACGGCACTCCGCTTGTTTCGCACTGTTGATTACTCGAGTTATGTTCGATATTCACGGGGGCTTCCTGTTTCTTATAGGCAATCCAATCTGCAGTGAATATCCTCCCATTTTAAAAATCAATATCAGACAATAACGACACCGTTGTTGTTATAGTAAATGCAGTGTTGTCCTTATAACCAATAGTAAATAGTGGTATCAGTATACACAGTGGTGTAATTATACCATGGCCTCTTTGCCATAGCATAAGAGATCCCGCTCCGGCACTGTCTTCTTCAGTGAAGCCTCCAATGGGGGAAGCTTCATCACAGCAACAGGCTGCGTTCGGTCTGATATCATGTTCAAAGATGCTCTCCCGGAAGACTTGGACACGTCTCCATATTTCCGAGTCTTCTTGGATCCAGAAATGGGCCTCCGGATGCCTCCTAGAGAAGGTTCCCCAGAAGATGCGTGTAAAGGCGCTGGACGTCGAAGACCACAAATACCCGAGGATGACTCTGGCTGGTTTTGTAAAGGGTGACTATCGACAGACAGGATGTTTCTGGAAGGCCTTGATGCCCTATCTGCATATTTACCTCTCTCTGCGAAAGATGTAGACCTTCCAACTGGCCTACTTTGAATAGCGCGGCCTTGGTCATATGACAGAGAGGGTGATCTGTCCAGGGTCCCCTGTTCAACCGTAGATATTTTCCTAGGAGACGGTCGAGGAGTTAGGTTTGATGGAGAAGGAGCGTGAGAAAGTTCTGATTTTACACTGTCTCTCCTCTCGAGGGAATCACCAAACCCGTGGACTCCAGTTCTTCGGAAAAGAGGATCCACCTTGACATTTGAAATTCTCTTCCGCTGTCTGTTCACCTCGGCGTCGTCTGTCCGTGGAGACTGCGGAACGTGAATGCTGGATTCGGGCACGAGGGTTCGTCTGCTTCGGGCAGAAAAAGACACTATGCTTGATTTTGGACGAGACGATTTCACAGAAGCTACATCAAATTCAGTAGCTTGTTTCGTATCACAAGAATTATCATCCACATTACCCCTCACATAGGTCCTAGCATTCATAGATTTATGTCTAGTGAGTTTAGATTTCGGGGTCTTTTCCTCGTAACGCATATTGCAGTCCCCGAAATCAGAGTCGCTAGAAAAGTCAGAACATTGCTCCTCCAAACGAAATCCGATCGAGGTTTTGGATCGGCCACTTTTTTGCTTTCTCAGAGTCTTTTTCACCGGTTTGACATCTAGTTCCGCCACCGAGGATGCGTCACTTCCGGCTATACTCCAGTTATCACTGTCGTTCCCGTCGTCCTGCTTCGGGGTTTCATTCAGGTCAAATTCCTTGAATTTAGAATTCAGTGCCTCTTGGTCCTTCAATAGTCGAAGAATCTGTTCTGCTTTGCTTCGCCGATACCCTTGGCTCAACCTCAACAAAATGGAGTCCGATTTTGAGGCACCATCGGCTTCACCGTCCAACCTACGTTCCTCTCTTATAGTCTCCATGGCTTTGTTCATGGATTTCCTTTTCACTTACTTCAAGGAAATGTTTATCCTTTGGTGTGCATTCGGGGTAAAATCAATTACAACTTGAAAGTCCCACAATCACGAAAATTCACATTGTCAGAACTAGCACAGTTCCGTGCTAGATGTGATCAGGAGTACTCACCCAAAGGCATGTGTGTTAATCCTCGAGTCGGATAAATCGTTTTCTTGGCAAAGGTCTCAGGCCTACCCAGCATAACACACGTCAGGAGCTCATAGAATTATTCATAGCTCATATAACCAAAGCCCGTCGAAGAATTGGCAAAGGCACAATTTCACAATGAATCCAAGTCGACATCACTGGTAGAATTCATTCGTAATTTTTCACAAAATGTGCATACATATCTCGTCGCAATAAACCTCTGTCAAAAACGAAACACTGCCAAGTCTCACTTCGCCAACTGTCGTCTGCTCACACTCATTCAAACGGGATCTTCCTTGTCGCCTGCTGGATAGTTGAAATCACGTTCTCGTGTCTCACAAATTAAAACCACCTATAGGCCGACCTGTCCGTTGCCTGATAGGCGTTCATATTCATCGAAACACCAAACACAAACACGTTCCCTGTCCCAACAAAATTCGCCGGGACTGTGTTATGGGCCGTTGCATGTAGTGTGTTGTACGCCGCGTGAACGGGTCGCTATGGCGTGTAAGGTACACATTGCTAATCTATAGCTTTGCTTGTCGTCAGGTACTTGCCTATGGGTCTGTACGCAACTGTCGGTACCAGATTAACAGCGTAAGGCGGCTATACAACGTTAAGCGCTGTAAGCTCAAAGCCCACTAATATCACGACTGAGACTTAGGAGTTATTGGCCGGCTCTGTTTCATACAATGCCCCGATTGTCGAAATAGAAATAAATCGGTTTTCATCAGCGAGAGGCATAGCGGATAAAAGCATGTTTCTGAGCTTTCCCCCTGTTAGACCAGGACGTAAATTAACTTTTGTTATTTAATCTACCTGTAATGTTTTACAATAACTTCTTTCAGTAATTAGGCATGTATATTTAAGGTAGTTTGAACATTCAGTGGATTTTCCGTATTTGTTTTTTCTGACTGTACAAGTCTATTTACGGTGAATGGCTGCTGGTGAGATTATAGGTGGGACAATGGGCAGTCTAGTGAAGACTTCATTAAATTCAGTAAAACCCACTTTGTTTGTCAGTGAACCCAAAATGTAATACGTACATATATAGAGTAATGATACCCAAATCATAGCAGGTGGTGTCTCAGTTTCAAGTCAGTGCTTACAGCATCAAGACCAGTATGAGACTTTGTATAGGATTAAGGATACTGTGGGTAGTTTGTCTCCTTACTTTCATAATTGTCGTGTAATGACAATATTGGGGATACTTGCAGCATACAGCCCATAAATACGTGTTCTATGTTCATCACAATGTCAGTGTTTTAACCCTCAGCCCGAGAGTTGAAAAATGTCTCATGGGTTCTACTGTGGGGATGCACTGGCGGCTGGGGGTGTTGAGTTGTTATTCACTTGTGGGGGTGTTGAGGTGTTAGGTTGTTGAAACGTTAGGGTGACGGGGTGTCGAGGTGTTAGGCTGTTGGAGCGTTAGGGTGACGGGGTGTCGAGGTGTTGGGTTATTGGAACGTTAGGGTGACGGGGTGTCGAGGTGTTAGGTTGTTGGAGCGTTAGGGTGACGGGGTGTTGAGGTGTTAGGTTGTTGGAACGTTAGGGTGACGGGGTGTCGAGGTGCTAGGTTGTTGGAGCGTTAGGGTTACGGGGTGTCGATGTGTTGGGTTGTTGGAACGTTAGGGGACGGGGTGTCGAGGTGTTAGGTTGTTGGAGCGTGTGTTGGGTTACGGGGGGACGGGGTGTCGATGTGTTGGGTTGTTGTTGGAACGTTAGGGGACGGGGTGTCGAGGTGTTAGGTTTTGGAGCGTTAGAGTAACGGGGTGTTGAGGTATTAGGTTGTTGGAACGTTAGGGTGACGGGGTGTTGAGGTGTTAGGTTATTGTTGGAACGTTAGGGTGACGGGGTGTCGAGGTGTTAGGTTGTTGGAGCGTTAGGGTTACGGGGTGTTGAGGTGTTAGGTTGTTGGAGCGTTAGGGTGACGGGGTGTTGAGGTGTTAGGTTGTTGGAACGTTAGAGTAACGGGGTGTTGATATGTTAGGTTGTTGGAACGTCAGGGTAACGGGGTGTCGAGGTGTTAGGTTCTTGGAACGTTAGAGTAACGGGGTGTCGAGGTGTTAGGTTGTTAGAGCGTTAGAGTAATTATGAGAGTCCTTGGGCACTGTGGTGAATAATGGCGGCCAACTAAAACGTAAAATAATAACAACAAATTATAATATGTACAATATACAATCACGTGTCGTGATGCACCCATAAAGTATTCTCGCTCATGGGCGAGATCGTTGAAATATTGAATTATCAAAAAGATTTTTTAAATGTTTTTCATCCATGGTATATATCAATGACTATACCATTACGAATTTTGTAAAATCAGAGCGTAGACAGTATCTGGACATACAGGTTTCCAGAATGAAAGTGTTGCGCGTTATAAACAGTCTAAGTAAACTTAGGCTCAATATTATTCGTTATACTGCTATACTGAGTACAGCACTATAGCAGTGTATCGAATAATACTGAGCCTAAGTTTACTTAGACTGGCGTTATAAAGAAACGCACGGAGAAAGACCTGAAAATATACATGTTCATGGTGATTTAAACCAGCTGTCCTGCAAACACGGTACAAGAATAATACATCAACTCAGTAACGACAGTTTCAGCAATGGTAGACATGTCAACCTACACATGTAACGTGATCCCGGAAGTAAACTACCGGGCAAGAGAAAGTTATCACCGACTTTACTTGACCATAAAAGAGAAACAAAGACGTATGTGAGGTTTATGATAATTATTTTACAAACAGAAATAATTTTCCAATAATTTGACTGAACATTTATTGCAAACCATATTGTCTTGCATTTGCTGCAATTCATTAAGAAAGTGTCTAGGGGTCAAAATTAAATACACAAAAATACACAAATCAGAGTTTTCTTTCAAAAAGTGCATAAAGAGTGACATAATGAGACAGGAGTCAGGAACACGTCATCAATAGCGCATGTGACCACCCTGGTTATTCATACACGCCAACACACGCCTCCTCCTGTTCCATAAGTCCAAGAAAGTGTGTCCAAGTCCCTGGTCGGTTCACTGGAGATGTACACACTGACTCAGCTGAATCAAGACGATCCCAGAGATGTTCATGTCTGGAGAACACGCTGGCCAAGGCGCCGTTGACGTTAACGTTGTGCAGGTATTCTCGGTCAATTCTGGCTTTGCGTGAAGGCTTGCGTTGTCTTACTGCAAATGTTGTGGTGCGTGGTCGTGTGCAGAGAGCTCAGGTCACAAATGAGTTGAAGTTAAGGAACTTTGGGTGTGAAGAGTCCTTGGATGGGTGACCGTGTTTAGCAGATTGACTCCTGAGAGTTTCTAGGACTTCAGACCTGCCCCACAACTAAGCACATGTATCACATGTGGTTTTACCTTAGACCAGTGAGTTTGTTCAAAATTGCCTCTGTTCACCCAGCAGAAAATGGGTACTCAATGGAATAAGTCATGAGACTATTAACCTTTTGGAGCCTCACAGGCAGCTTGGGTTATCCGGGGTAATAATAATCAGATTGTGCGCTTTGGGCAGGATATGAAGCCTGGAAAAGCGCGTTACAAATATTCTCATTATGTTATTATGAAAATAACTCCTCTTTGCTGTTGTCGAATAAAGGGCTCCACAAAAGGTCTCAAGACTTCATCCCTATGTCGCTTGGCATTCCGATTTCCTCGGATGATAACCATTCTGTTGTTCTCTGGCCACAACTGGCGCCCCATGCCATGACGCCTCCTCTGTGGAGATGATGAACTGACTGAACGCAGTTTGGCGCCAGTCGCTCCCTCTACGTCTAAAAACTCTGCCATCCTTTCTGAACTGACTGTACCGACTCTCTCTCAGTCACGTTGCTGCCACCAATGTGCATTTCGTGCCAATTGCAGTCTGCGTTGACGGTATAGACGGGTAAGGCCATTACTTGGGGCGGTGGGCTCGTATACCAATCATACCAAGTCGTTGAAGGACTGATGGCGTGGCCTAGTGCTGTCGCCGCCGTTGACGTCGCCGACACGAATATGTTCAGAAGGCGCCGGATCTGCCGGATGTAGCGATCTTGGGTCTGGCCCATGTGCTGGTAGCAGTTTGCTGACGGTGGCTGAAGGTTCCCGTCAGCTGACGTGACGCCCATATATTGACCATACTGATCGCCCGGTCTCGTCGCGCTTGCGCAAGTCTTGGCATATTCGTAGTGTGTTTTTTTTGTTTGGTTGCTGCATGCTTGCGCTGTCCAACATCGATATTTATACCACTATCATACACGTGCATTTAGAACAATGCCCCACAATTACGTTTTGAAAAATGCACGATTCGTACGGTACGGTTTCTGATAGCTGCGTTGTTATTGGGACCATGTTGCGTTTTGGCGAATGTTTTCTGTTTGGGTTCAAACCCCTTAGGTCACCTAAGGGGTCACTTCCATAACGCTTGTTAATTTGGGTCAAATGAGGTTCCAAATGTATATTCAATTTTGGCCGGCAATTTATACCAAAGCAATCGAGAAAGTTAAATGGTTCATCAGAAACATCAGCAACTAGTTTGGTTCGTTGTCAGTCTTTCAACAGCAGTGGTGGCACTGTCATCTGAAGCGCGTATTCGGCGTGCCATGTAGTTCGAATCCCAGCTGATCAGTGATGTATCAGCACTATCGCACTAAAGTGGTATACAAAGTGTACAGTGTTTGTAACGGTGTAACAAGTTGTGTTACAAGTAGCACCGAATAACATACAAGACGTACCGGAAAGTTGCTTGTGTCTCGTTACCATTACCGCCTAGCCGTGAAGATGCGGGTTAGAATTCATTTCAGCAACCCATGCTTGTCGTACGAAGCGACTTACGGCATTGGGTGGTCAGGCTCGCTGACACTTGTCATCTTATCCCAACTGACCAGACTGATAGTCACGATATCAGTCACTGGCTTGTCTGGTCCAGACTCGATTATTTACATGACACATGACTGGCATGTAACTAAGTGAGGCATTAAACAACAGCCAAACAAAACCTTTATCGCTGTATCTTGTCATAGACGTAGGAAATTGTTCGGCTGGACAAACGAGTCATTTTCTCTTCCCGTCTCATCTATTGTTCGACATGTGGTAAACCCGGAGGAATCCATACACAATAACCATCTGGGCAACTCACCAGCGGGTCATAAATTATATGGTTTTGAAGTTTATCCTCGTAACTATATTCATGACCTTCGTGACTACCATGGCGATAAGGTCACGAAGTAGGAATCACCCGGAAAACTCTGAAGAGGCCAGTTGCACAAAGTTTTACACATGGTGATAAGGAAAAGCACTCCTTTGAAGAGCTTATTCAAATCTGAATATGCGCAACAAGTATTAATCAAAGAAAAAGGCACACAAAATGTTATAAAATACAATAACTTTTCATCAGAAAAGGTAACGTTAGGTTACGGGCTTGCTTATGGTTAGATACCGTGCCAAATACTAAATATAGGGAAAAGTGTAGTCGAATAAAAATTGCATCTAAGGCGAGAAATATATGACAGCGGAACCTTTAGCAGCCCGGATGTACAATTTGCACGTGCTGTGTTATTTAGATCGGGCGGCTAAAGTATTCTGAGATCTTCACTATGAAGGATGGAAAGAATGTACTCTTGATTGTGTGTATGCACTAAGTACAATACTTCCCATACTCACAGGCTGCTACTAGACTACACACTCTGACAACAGCATATAATACCTGTGCTGGCACAGTTAGTTATTCTATGTTGATATAAAAATGAAAACAAATAAGTTATCTCCCCCTGAACTCCAACAGCCATCCTTGTGAGCATGGTGTCATATTTGGGGTATGAAGCTCCTTCCTGTGTTACGGCTAACTGTGCTGCAGCGGAGTTCAATAGGAGAGGGGAAGGCTTCGAAGATGACTCAGTGTCTCCAGGATCTTCAGCTGCAACCACTAAACAAATGTTCATAAAATATACACAAAGCACCCTCTGACATACCTCATGATTGAATGAGACCCGGTTTTAACCCTTTGGAGCATACCTGGGACATGATTGGTCGTCGTGTGCATCAAATGTATCTTCCTGAACAGAACTCGGCCCATTTGGAAGCTGCTTTACACCAGGAATAGTGTAGACTGCCCCTTCAGAGGATCAGGAGGCTGACACGGGGTATGAGGAGGAGACTGCTGGCTGTCATACAGTCACATGGAGGTTACACGCGGTATTGACCTTGAATCATGTAAGACACGCAAAATGACATTTTGAATGTTCACATTCACCAATAAGTACAATATTAAACATTCCAGGGCCATACTTGTACAGACATGGTTTTGTATAAAAAACAGTGGGCTTTTGTTTAAAATGAGCAATTATCATCATGAAACCAACATAGATTTCAATCATTTTGTCGTTTTTTCAGAACCAAAGGATCATACGGGTCAGAAAAACTCGAGACGTTTTATATAAGTGTTGAAAACCTATCAATGCAAAAATACAGGGGGTACTTGATTAAGTTCTTTGTGTATATATGATATGATTATTGACGATCGACGACTTATCACATCACACTCTTCAGAAAGGTTCGAAACAGTCCTGGTCCAGGTCGGAAACAGTCCTGGTTCATCATTCAACCAGGCTCATAAGCATTGTTTCAGGGTTGAATTTGGTTGAGGCTGCTATGTCACAAAACATAGAATCAAAATTATTTTAACATGTAGAAAATACTGAAAAAAGTAAAATCAATATTTCATAAAAATAAAATACGTTCAACGAATTAAGATCGACATAATTGATTTACTTTACCAAAAACTGCGAACACATCTCGGATTGATCCCGAACATTCCAGGGTGCCGTTGTACAAAGCGATCTTAGCGCTAAGGTGACCGTAACTCCCATACCTTAACATAGACTTAAGGTAGTCTTAGCGCTAAGGTGACCGTAACTCCTATACCTTAACATAGACTTAAGGTAGTCTTAGCGCTAATGTGACCGTAACTCCCATACCTTAACACAGACTTAAGGTAGTCTTAGCGCTAAGGTGACCGTAACTCCCATACCTTAACATAGACTTAAGGTAGTCTTAGCGTTAAGGTGACCGTAACTCCCATACCTTTACATAGACTTAAGGTAGTCTTAGCGCTAAGGTGACCGTAACTCCCATACCTTAACATAGACTTAAGGTAGTCTTAGCGCTAATGTGACCGTAACTCCCATACCTTAACATAGACTTAAGGTAGTCTTAGCGCTAAGATGACCGTTACTCCCATACCTTAACATAGACTTAAGGTAGTCTTAGCGCTAATGTGACCGTAACTCCCACACCTTAACATAGACTTAAGGTAGTCTTAGCGCTAAGGTGACCGTAACTCCCATACCTTAACATAGACCTAAGGTAGTCTTAGCGCTAAGGTGACCGTAACTCCCATACCTTAACATAGACCTAAGGTAGTCTTAGCGCTAAGGTGACCGTAACTCCCATACCTTAACACAGACTTAAGGTAGTCTTAGCGCTAAGGTGACCGTAACTCCCATACCATAACATAGACTTAAGGTAGTCTTAGCGCTAATGTGACCGTAACTCCCACACCTTAACATAGACTTAAGGTAGTCTTAGCGCTAAGGTGACCGTAACTCCCACACCTTAACATAGACTTAAGGTAGTCTTAGCGCTAAGGTGACCGTAACTCCCATACCTTAACACAAACCTAAGGTAGTCTTAGCGTTAAGGTTGTTTTGTACAACGGAACCCTGGTACTAGACAAGGTATTCCTGATACACAAAGAACTTGATGTGAACTTGATTCCTAATATCACTGACATACATGTGACGGTGATTGATTTTCGCTGAGGGTTGGAGACAAGCAATCAAAATGTAACCTCTGTATTGAGAGCGAAAGTAATATTGGAAATAGGGCCAGTCAGCGGGGATATTTATACATAATGCGCCGTTGTTACTAAAATTGTAAGGGGTATTACTTTATTCATACACGCGTCCTTGCTCGGTAGGCAATATAGCGTTCCTGGTCGCGGATAATGTCCACGTACCAGCACGTCCCAGAAATTAGTATACTGTCAGAGCAACACTAGGGGGTTACCATTTGCTAGGTTATGTGTGCGTTTCTTCAGGAAGTGGCAGAATATATCTTGCATCAAACCCTACCATTCAATCCGAAATGTTACGTTCTATTTTGACGTCCCAATACCGCTATGTCCAGTGTCTGGCAACAAACACTTGATTGTAACCGGTTCTCAATTCGACATGACAATAGTTCAGCTAATATAGCATACGACTTTATGGACAACAACTTCTTGGTTACTGCATTAAGTCCATTGTTATCCACAAACTGGTAAGGCCGCCTCCGTGGTGTAGGAGTTAGAGCGTCCGCCCGGAGAGCAGGAGGTCGCGGGTTCGATCCCCGGCCGCATCATATCAAAAGACGTTAAAATATGGTACTTGTTGGTCCCTGCCTGGCGCTCGGCATTAATGGGTACAACAAGGACTAGTCGGCCCTGAGTCAGTATAATGTGTCTGAGCGGAGTATTCATGCTTAACTGCGGCATGATATCTCAGTGAGCTAGCACCATAAAACCAGCTTAAGTCTGGGCTAGTACAAGCAGCTACACATACATCAGCGAAATATTCTCAAGTACCACGTTAAACCCCATTTCCCCTCACCTCCCCTCACCCATAAGTTGTATGCTTTGTTACTGACTCACCAACTTCTAAATGCCCATCAAACAATTAATAGTTCAGCTTCTCTCAAACTTGTGATACCTACAAGATAACCTAGGAAGGTATTCTGGATATTTTGTTTATCTCTGACATCGGAGAAATGTGTAGGTTTCTTGATAACATGTTAAGACATCCCTGTTTTTCCAAATGGTAGACGGGTACAACATGTGTCACTTTCGGTTGTTCTCCTCCAAGCTGGGGCATGTGCTCTAACTGCATCGCGCTGTATAACCCCCGTGCACCCCAACCCCGTACACGCAGTGCAATCATGTGTACATACACGTTGAGAACATGTGATCAACTTTATTTTGAAGTTGTTCAACTGAGTTAAAATAGCCTGACTCCCATAAAACTGGTAAAGTACTGACCGATGACAGTGTCAGTTTGAGAGATATGGTCTATAGTTACATACACCCTGGATCCGACCAATAACTCCAAAATAGCAAATGCCGTTCCCGAACCGGACTTGGACCCTGATGTTGTGGTCGCAGCAACTGTCGCCTCTTCTAGCCTCAGGTTCAGGTTGAAACTCTTCATGGTGTCTCCTGCGTAATCGTTGACTCCGTTAATCAGAAACAAATACACCCCATTGGTGGGGGCAGTGAAATTTCCAGTTGTGGAGTTGTAACCTCCGCCGACGTTGTATCTGGTGTCGTTGAACTTCAGTACATCATTTTCGGAGAAGTTTGCTACTTTGTAGTTAGGAAAACTTACATCGAAGTAGACTTTCGGATCTTGCTCTGCCGAGGAAAGGTGAAAAGGGTAAAGCGTCCTTTGAGGAAATGGCCATGTGAAGGATGACATACAAGTACTTTAATTCACAACCCCAAATCATATCTGAATCTATGACTGTACAGATATGTTAACTATCAGGCTGCAAAATAACGCCATTTACACATTCTTGTATTGAATTATTCTACATGACAGCTTTGCATACAAAATATAGACGTATGGTCATGTGATAAGGTTCACATACAGAATATAGATGTATAGCCATGTGACAACGTTTACATACAGAAGATAGACGTATGGTCAAGTGATACTGACTGACTGACTGAGTTTAGTTTTACGCCGCTTTTAGCAATATTCCAGCAATATCACGGCGGGGAACACCAGAAATGGGCTTAACACATTGTGCCCATGTGGGGATGGTCAAGTGATAAGGTTCACATACAGGGTATAGACGTATGATCATGTGACAACGTTTACATACAGAATATAGATGTATAGCCATGTGACAACGTTTACATACAGAAGATAGACGTATGGTCAAGTGATAAGGTTCACATACAGAATATAGACGTATAGCCAAGTGACAACGTTTACATACAGAATATAGACGTATAGCCATGTGACAACGTTTACATACAGAATATAGAAGTATGGTCATGTGACGTTTACATACAGAATATAGACGTATGGTCATGTGATAAGGTTCACATACAGAATATAGACGTATGGTCATGTGACAACGTTTACATACAGAATATAGATGTATAGCCATGTGACAACGTTTACATACAGAATATAGACGTATGGTCATGTGATAAGGTTCACATACAGAATATAGACGTATGGTCATGTGACAACGTTTACATACAGAATATAGACGTATGGTCATGTGATAAAGTTCACATACAGAATATAGACGTATGGTCATGTGATAAGGTTCACATATACAGTATAGACGTATAGTCATGTGATAAGGTTCACATACAGAATATAGACGTATGGTCATGTGATAAGGTTCACATGCATAATATAGACGTATAGCCATGTGACAACGTTTACATACAGAATATAGACGTATGGTCAAGTGATAAGGTTCACATACAGAATATAGACGTATGGTCATGTGATAAGGTTCACATGCATAATATAGACGTATAGCCATGTGACAACGTTTACATACAGAATATTGACGTATGGTCATGTGATAAGGTTCATATACAGAATATAGACTTTGGACTATGTGACAACATTTACATACAGAATATAGACGTATGGTCATGTGATAAGGGTCACATACAGAATATAGACGTATGGTCACGTGATAAGGCTCACATGCAGAATATAGACGTATGGTCACGTGATAAGGCTCACATGCAGGATAAAGACGTATGGTCACGTGATAAGGCTCACACGCAGGATAAAGACGTATGGTCACGTGATAAGGCTCACATGCAGAATATAGACGTATGGTCATGTGATAAGGTTCACATGCAGAATATAGACGTATGGTCACGTGATAAGGCTCACATGCAGAATATAGACGTATGGTCATGTGATAAGGCTCACATGCAGGTTATAGACGTATGGTCATGTGATAAGGTTCACATGCAGAATATAGACGTATGGTCACGTGATAAGGCTCACATGCAGGATAAAGACGTATGGTCATGTGATATGGCTCACATGCAGAATATAGACGTATGGTCATGTGATAAGGCTCACATGCAGAATATAGACGTATGGTCATGTGATAAGGCTCACATGCAGGATAAAGACGTATGGTCACGTGATAAGGCTCACATGCAGGATAAAGGCGTATGGTCACGTGATAAGGTTCACATGCAGAATATAGACGTATGGTCATGTGATAAGGTTCACATACAGAATATAGACGTATGGTCATGTGATAAGGTTCACATACAGAATATAGACGTATGGTCATGTGATAAGGTTCACATACAGAATATAGACGTATGGTCATGTGATAAAGTTCACATACAGCATATAGACTTTTGACTATGTGCAACGTTTACATACAGCATATAGACGTATGGTCATGTGACAAGGTTCACATACAGCATATAGCAGTCATATGACAGTCCTCAGTGAATGCCCAAGTGTACATCTTACCTAAATGCGTTAAGCGAGTCTTGACACTTTCCAAGTTCACAACGGAGCTGACCACAGCTTGGACTTGTTTGGTGACGCTGGCGAAATCTTTGCTTAACTTCTCAAATGACCTCTCAGACACATTTCTGGCAACCTCATCAGCTGTGGTTGACGTGTTGAGCAGCCCAACATCCTTGTGCAATATCGTGACTTCATCAGCAAGGCCTTGTAAAGTGTGAAGATGCTCAGCGCTTTCATTAAACAAGGTATCGATGTTAACTGTCACGTTTTGAAGTTTGCTGTCAAACGAAACACCAAGGAGTTTGTTTTCTTGTTTTCTTTCTTGCACCTGAACTTGAAATGAAGAGTTCAAATGCATTTGCTGCATTTTCAGCACATACAGTGTCTGCGTCAGTTGTTGGTTTTTTGAGAGACTGGGTGTTCCCTTGTTGTTGTAGATCCATGTTGCATGACGCTAGCATTCCGGACAAGTTGGTGACCTTGTGGTCAAGGTCATTTCTCTCCAATCGCTCTGTGAGGATACTGTTCTCCAGATACGCATTCTTCGCTTTAAGATCTGCAGCTTTGATTTCCATGTCTGACATTTTCTTTAAAAGAGTAAGCACATCACCTGATAATTGAAAATTCGAGTTTTGAAGAAGTTGCAGATCAGTCTGGATCATGGAAAGGGCGTGTGCCGCATTGTTCTGCTGCAAAGTCTTCAACGTTGCCTTCAGGTCGGTGTTTTCCGTTTTAAGAGATGCCACCTCGCTAACCAGATTGTACATCTCGTTTTGTAGTTGTATCATGTTTGAGTTCAGAAGCGACATTGCAAGGCTGTCGACGGTGGTGTTTGGCGTCCGTGTTGTCGTCCACGCAGGAAGGATGGCTTGAAGGAAGAGGAAGGGAACTACAACATTCATTTTTCAGCAGCCAGATTGTTTGAGCTACACACGTCATGGAACTTTCTCATATTGTGTAACTTTCCAAGAGACTGGACACCTGTTGCCTTGTCTTATCAAGAATTTATGATTCAAAACATGTAAATTTAGTTCATAGCTACTGGTCAACGCGTGTAGTTCATGGTCGTTTACAGGTGGTCTCTCTATTTCAATTTCAGCTTTATTCAAATATAATGCTAATGCACGCTAATTAAATCTGAAAACGGATTGAGCGCTTTAGGTACCTGATCTTCATCTACGAAGCTCCTGAAGGGACATTTGCGTAACCAAAATTAAAAAATAATCTCGTAATAACGACTTTTATTACCTACGAGGGTGAAAATATCGGGGTTCATAGTTTTCATACCATGCCCTAGGACAAAATATCAGTTTGTCATGGTGACGTGACGTCATGTTTCTTCTATGACGTTGCGTTCTACATGCGGCGACGGCGGGTAGCCAGCGTATGTTTGAAAGTAGATTTGGGGTTATTTTCCTCAATTTGACGACTTCGGTAATTAATACTAAATAGAATATTATATTCGTGCCAATATCCTACAATGTAACGACACAAGTGCCTAAATATCGGTATATCCCTCGCTCTCGCTCGGGAAATACCAACATTTTGGCACTCGAATCGTAAACATAGTATGACATAGGCACTCATAATATCCTCTATATAATCCCGTTATAACGATTTTAAATCTCGTTATAACGACTTTTAAATCTCGTTATAACGACTTTTAGTGGCCTTCGTCTACTTCTGAATTGGGTCTGTTTGAACATAAACTCTGTCAAAAAAGAAACGCAACCCCTGTCCTCAGATATGAAAAATTCGTTTGAATGAAGTTATTGCTTCCAAACTAAATTTTATTCGAATGTATTGAAATGATACACGTAATTAATGAAGATTACCATCCAAACAACTGCATTTGTACGCATAAGTGTATTTTATTGCTTATTCCGTCACAACGCATGAAATGACCCTCATGGTGACTTCGCACAAAAAAAACACATGCAAATCATGAAAATGGCAGTTAATGTAGGGTGTATAAAAGCCCATGTGCTTCCGTATTATATTCATTCATTTGTCGCCGAAAAGCTGTGTTAAAAATGCCACGATTGAGTGCTGCCGACCGAAATATCGCCATTGGTCGTGTTCAAGCCGGAGAAAGTTTTGGAACTGTTGCACGGCACCTAAATGTTCACAAAACAACGATATCCCGACTTTGGAGCCGCTACAACAACTTCAATTTGACCAACGATCGCCCGAGAAGTGGAAGGCCAAGAATCACGAGCCCCTTCAAGATCGGTACATCCGGGTCCATCACCTGCGTAATCGGCATGCCCTACCAACCGTGACTGCCACACAAATACCAGGTTTGAGGAGAGTGTCAGCTCAAACGATTAGGAACCGTCTGAAAGAAGCGGGTTTACGTGCCTGTAGACCAGTTGTTGGACCTGTACTACGCCCCCTACATCGACGCCGACGACTCAGGTGGTGCAACAACGTAAGGATACGGACTTTACAAAACTGGAGGCGAATCTGGTTTCTGATGAATCACGTTTTCTTTTGCAACGTCACGACGGAAGACAGCGTCTGTATAGGAGACGTCATAAACGTTTTGCGCCCATCTGCGTCCGACAGGTGGACAGATTTGGCGGAGAAAGCGTCATGGTTTGGGAACCATCTCATACAACCAGAAATCAGACTTGGTGATCGTTCCAGGAACCTGACAGCCCAACGTTACATCAACCACGTGTTAGAGCTTCACCTTCTCCCGATTATTGACCAACAGACACAGATTTTTCAACGGGACAACGCCCGGCCTCATACTGCACGTGCAACAATGAACTTTCTGCAGAATTCCAACGTCAATGTCTTGCCATGACCCTCTAAATCACCAGACCTCAACCCTATTGAACACCTGTGGGATACTCTGGATCGACGCGTACGTCAACGTCAGCCGCCGCCACAGACGCTGCAACAGCTCGCCGTTGCACTGCAGGAGGAGTGGAGAGCCATTCCCAGGAAAGAATCCGGCGTCTTATCCGTTCTTGTCCAAGGAGATGCCGTGCAGTGATTGCAGCGCGTGGTGCTCATACGAGATACTGAGAAAGACGCCCCCCTGGTGACAAACTGGTGTCTGTGAGATGACTTTTGAAATGACAATTTTAAACATGCCCATCTGGGTTATTATTCTGCCAAATTTCAGACTTCTGTCTTAAATAATAAAAATGCCGTGTCGTCCTAAAACTTCAGATCAAAATCTCTAAAATACAGGGGTTGCGTTTCTTTTTTGACAGAGTTTAGAATTCATGGTTTCGACCGACTTGATGAGCCTCTGGTCTTTAGAGTCCTGTGTAACATCCTTGCTTACCTTCCTGATCCCTCCATCGAAGATGGTAGTCGCATCCCAAGGTTTGCGGTTGGGAACTGTGAGAAAATCAATGTGTCACAGTTCCCATCAGGTGCGAAAATCAACTTGTCACAGTTCCCATCAGGTGAGAAAATCAACTTGTCACAGTTCCCATCAGGTGAGAAAATCAATGTGTCACAGTTCCCATCAGGTGAGAAAATCAACTTGTCACAGTTCCCATCAGGTGAGAAAATCAATGTGTCACAGTTCCCATCAGGTGAGAAATCAATGTGTCACAGTTCACATCAGGTGAGAAAATCAACTTGTCACAGTTCCCATCAGGTGAGAAAATCAATGTGTCACAGTTCCCATCAGGTGAGAAAATCAATGTGTCACAGTTCCCATCGGGTGAGAAAATCAACTTGTCACAGTTCCCATCAGGTGAGAAAATCAATGTGTCACAGTTCCCATCAGGTGAGAAAATCAATGTGCCACAGTTCCCATCAGGTGAGAAAATCAACTTGTCACAGTTCCCATCAGGTGAGAAAATCAACTTGTCACAGTTCCCATCAGGTGAGAAAATCAATGTGTCACAGTTCCCATCAGGTGAGAAAATCAACTTGTCACAGTTCCCATCAGGTGAGAAAATCAATGTGTCACAGTTCCCATCAGGTGAGAAATCAATATGTCACAGTTCCCATCAGGTGAGAAGATCAATGTGTCACAGTTCCCATCAGGTGAGAAAATCAATGTGTCACAGTTCCCATCAGGTGAGAAAATCAATATGTCACAGTTCCCATCAGGTGAGAAAACCAACTTGTCACAGTTCCCATCAGGTGAGAAAATCAATGTGTCACAGTTCCCATCAGGTGAGAAAATCAATGTGCCACAGTTCCCATCAGGTGAGAAAATCAACTTGTCACAGTTCCCATCAGGTGAGAGAATCAATGTGTCACAGTTCCCATCAGGTGAGAGAATCAATGTGTCACAGTTCCCATCAGGTGAGAAAATCAATGTGCCACAGTTCCCATCAGGTGAGAAAATCAACTTGTCACAGTTCCCATCAGGTGAGAGAATCAATGTGTCACAGTTCCCATCAGGTGAGAGAATCAATGTGTCACAGTTTCAATCAAAAGTGAGTGAGTGAGTATGGTTTTACGCCGCTTTTTGGCAATATCACGGTGGGGGACACCAGAAATGGGCTGCACACATTGTACCCATGTCTTGAATGGAACCCCGGTTATCGGCGTGATGAGCGAACGCTTTAACAACTAGGCTACTCCACTGCTCTTCCACCAAAAGTCGTTATGACGAGATTTAAAAGTCGTTATTACGAGATTAAAAGTTAATCAGCCAGCGGCCCGTTTCACAAATCGATCGTAGCGCTACGACTGTCGTAAGTCTATGTTAAAGTATGGGAGTTACGATCGCTTTGTGGAACGGGCCCGGAGATTTACAAGTCGTTATAACGAGATTTATAAGTCGTAATTACGTGATTATACGTCACGTCAGAGGTACAGATAAGCTGCGTATCTGCGTAAATTACGCAAATGTTTATGAGAAAACGCAATTCCTATTAAGTCTATTGCGTACAAGTACGCTTGGAGTTTGGTAAATACCCAATAAATGTGATCTTACATGCGTACAAACAAAAATGTCAAATCTTAGCTTGCGTAACGGTGGATAAAATAAAATAACTGCGGTATACTGAGAGGTTCTATTTCAGGACATGAACTTGACAACCTGCAGTCTTTCTTATCGTTTCTCATATTAGAGATCAAATATAAATAACGAACACTAACATTTAAACTTTTTTATATTTGTAAAATTAATGGAAAATGGAAAAATACCCAATTGAGTTTGAGTGAGGTGAGTACAATTTATTTAGTTACTCAAAGGAAAATTAGGATACCCAATTGAGATGAACACAAGCGAGTACATAACTCAATGATCCAAAAAGTTATCTGTAGCTCTGTACGTCGTTATTAAAACGAGATTATAAGTCGTTATAACGAGAATATTATTATTATTTAGTTTTTGGATACGCATATGTCCCTTCAGGAGCTTCGTATTTATCTGATGGTGACCAGTAAAAAGAAACTAAATATCATCTTGCTATATACTTTTTCTCCAAATGGTGACAGGTACAAATGTTACTGAGAACTGCGGAACTCTGAACTAGTCAACTTTAGTATCCAAGCGGTTTTAGCAACGAAACATTTCGTTTTTACACACTACAGGCTGTGGTACAATACTGGTTAAGTGGTACAATACTGGTTTCACCACACTTAATACACACAGAGCAGTATAACAGTGTAACGAATAATACTGAGCCTAAGTTTACTTAGACTGTGCGGCCAGCCTACCGTAAAGTATTGAGCACTTTCATGGTTTCAAGTTGATGAGCGGCCAAAGGGAGGTAACTCTAATTATCAACGTCATTGTCAACAAACATGGAAGAGCAGCTGGCAGCCTATCGAGCGAAGAAGGCGAAAGAAAAGGAGGCGTCCAAAGGATCATTGTCTTCGGCAGTTTACAGCTTTACTTCAGGAATTCTCAGCTCACGGAAAAGGGTAACAAACGTAATAATGATGTATGTAGCTTCAAAGCTCAGCCACATCGGCACTGGGGTGACGGCTTCCGTCATCTTTAAAGTTTAAAGATGACGTGTATAAAATATTTACGTGTTGTTCAATAATAGAATAGGATCAACCACCTGTTTCCCTGTAAACGCCCTTGACCGCTACGCATCTCTTGTTTTTAACCACCTGTGGTTAAATTGGGAATTATTAATAGAACAATGGTTGTTTTGACAAAAATATACTGAATGGAACCACAACAGAATATGTTCGTCCACAATCCAACCCTTAACCCCACCCTGGCAAACATTCTCTAGTTGCACCAACTCAGGTTATGCTACTGTTAAGAGCAGGAAGAGGTCACGAGAATGATGATATATTCTTGTCAGATGTTTGATTGACATTGCTTGAACATAGGCAAGTAAAAGTCTATATCCGTCTACGACTTAGAATTTTAGTTACATGGTCCATATATCGTCACCCGTAGCCACAGGATATGTTTTGAACAAACGTTTCATGACTACTGATGATGCTCATTCAGTTCCAAAATCAGTCAAGCGTGATTAATTCTACAGGTATCCTAGATCTAGATTACAAGTCAATTGATGTGTTTATAGTCCAATTAAGTCAACATGTTTATCTTCCAGTAGTTATATAGTGGGGGTTCTATTACAGGGTACCCTATTGGTTTATTTTGGTTTAATTCCGCTCCCAGCACCCAGTAACAAATGATCCCCCAAGCATGAGACATCGTTCGATGTTCCCCCTACTGTTGACTACAACGGTGTCCATACGCGTAAGTCGTGACGCCATCGATGGCGATCCATTGTTTGTGTTCATGGGCGACACCGACGTCTTGTTGAGGGTGATGCCATATATCCTATGCTTGTTACTTCTCAATGCATTCATTTGATGTTTGAACGTTTGATTCTTGAAGAGAGCTTGTTTGAAGAGGGTGTGTTTGATGTGTTGTTTCACGACATATTTCTTGATCCCTTTGGCTTTTTTTTATTTCGTCGTCGGCTTTTTTAATGGAATACATCTTAGGTCTTAACCCGATGTATCCCGCACTGGGTGTCCCAGCACATTCATCCTTCATCTTGCTGAGGACCTTTTTATTCGTTTGGTTGTGTAGGGCGTGGTCTGGGGGTAATCACTTGTATGGTACAGGTGGATGTGTTTTGCCATGTCCTCGTACATGTCCTTGGTACGAATTTCTAACAACAAGGAATCCGTGTCGGTATACACCACACCACATCAATCGCCGTATTGTGTCTTAAATTTATTATAATAAAAGCCATACATCAAGTGTTTGGATAAATCGAGAATGCTCATCCCTGCGTAGACAGGCCGGTTGAGCTTGATATGGCTTTTAGTCATGTGTAGAGCTGCCAAATCATTGTTGAACATTTTACTTCGGTTAAAGGCTCGACTCGCTATGAGTTTCCTTAGTTTTTCCTCCTGGTGTGATCTGACTAATTTCACGTTGACATGCTTACTTAAATTCTTCATGTTTTTTCCAAATACTGAGTTGTTCATCAGTTTGTAGAGGTTTTTCTCAAAGTCGCTCGTGGCTTGTTTTCTCAGATCCGTATTCAACCGAATGTAAGGTTCCATCCAGGGACTTTGATGAAACATCAGAACCCGATGTATTTTGGTGAGCTTCATTCCCAGTGATAAGTACAGTTGCAGATTCCGATAGTGCACGACTTATTTTTTCTTGTTCATCAAGTTAGGTACGACTTTTTCCATGTTAGCCAGTTTGTTATCTCCCAACAAGTTTCGTTGATATTTGGACAACCATTCGCGATCGACCATTAATCGTTCGGGGCCAGCGGATAACTGTTGTGGGAGGCATGCAATTCTTTGGGATAGTCCAAGTCCACTTTGAATATGTATCCTCTCTCAAAGTTTTCGGGGATAGCCATAATGTTCTTCATTTTAAAATGCTTGCGATCAACCCACTCGAACCAGCCCGTGGGCAAAAGTTGACTCATGGCCGAACCATAGAGATTATTCGCATCCAGATAGAGGAGATGGTTGGAGGGTTGATTTGGATTATAGTTTTTCCTATATTTATGATTGGCTTTTGTGTAGCGTTTCGATACCATAGAAATCCCGCTGCGCATTCCTTTCTCGATAAACAGGTGCATGTCGTAATCCGTTAACTATTCCAATTTGACTCTTGTTTTCTTCAAGAGAGCATCCCATGACAGACCGGGGCTTGTGTAGTACCAAGCGGGGTTGAGTTGATATTATTTCAAACACATCTTTCTAAAAATTTCGAAGATGTCGGCAAGTAGTAGCACAATCTTCCTCACCAGCAAAGACCGAGTCGCTGCATCAGTGGATCGATTGGTTATAGCGAAGGTATCGTTGGCTTTCACCAAACTGTCGAGGGATGACAGGAGAAACTGGGCATTGTGGATAAATCTCAGGCTGTTTAACGAGAAGGAAATGTATTCTTTCCATGTTATTGGGGATGCACTTGATGTCGCCATCGACCTTCGAGATGGCCTTCATGATGAGGTGGGCATCGTAACGTCTGAGGTTGTGAAACACCACGGGGATTTGTATGGTTTTGGGATTGATTCTAAGTTCAAGTTACAGCTTTGTGGGCGGCGCCTCTGTATTGACCGGTGATGTGACAATGATCTCTCACGGAATTGGCTTTAAGGGGGCCATGACATACGTGACAATATCTAGTTCGTTGATGAGCTCGCTCATCCTCTGGTGTCATATCCATGGGGCCGGGGTCCACCAAAGCTTTCCTGATTTTTTTCTCTTCGTTTTGTAAGTACGTGAGAAACGTTTCGGCAGCGTCATGGCCTCGGTAGATCATGGGCTCTTTTGTTTATCCGTCGCATCGGACGACCACGTACCCGAACCCGCAAGCTTCATGTTCCTGCGTTTTGTACGTGAAACTTTGTTTGGTCGTGTTGGGCAGGTCGTGGTCGACCTGTCTGATAAGGGCTTCGAAGTCAGTGTAGATAACGTAGGGTACAGGCATTTGATGTTTGTGGTTGATAAATTTTAAGATGTTTTTCTCTTCTTCAGGCATGTCGATCGTAACAGCAGTCTCTCCCACACTCTAGTTGTTTGGCGCGACTGTACCCGTGCAGACATCTCTCGCAAAAATACTTCTTCGCTTTGTGAGAGGATTGGTCGTACAACAGCCTGCTCTAACTTTTAATCGCTGCGTAGTGAAATTGATCCTCTTTTCCGATCAGAAATAAATTGATTCTGCGCACGGTTTTATCCTGGACAGGGCTTATCCTGTGCACAATAACCCTATACCCCTTGTGTCCAAACACGTTGAAGAGTAAATTGTTTTGCTTTTTGAATCTCGTCCAGTAGGAGATGGATGTGAGGCGCTCTACACTGGTGAAATCGAGCCCAGATTCCTCCAGCGTGGGGTAGCTGTAACGCCTGCTTGGATTACCTTGGGGTTTAAATAAGGCAACTATGGGAGCCACCACCGCGCAATAATTATTAAAATCATTCCCTTTGGTTTCAGGGTTAACAATGGCCTTTTTTCCCCTGAAATGCTTTGGTACCGGGAAGTAACATCCGCCTTTGAACGGCATGTAGTTCGCTATATCCACATAGATGGTATCGATACAACCAACCACCCATCGGCTAGTGCGGAGCAAACCGCGACAATGTTGGTCGACATCTTGTCTAGGCTGGACAACGACAACGAAGAAGAACTCTGGGAGGAAAGCGTTGAGGAGGAGCAAGAAGAGACGCATCTGGATGTCCAGAAGGTGCGACAGATGCTAGAATCGGTCCAAAAGTGGACCTACCTTTCGCTAGCCGACGTGTTTCTCTGGAAGGTTGTGCACATGACCTGGAAGCACAGCACACCGACTGATATACCGGTCGACAGACAGGCTGACGAGAAGACAGAAACGCCCAAACCAGTTTCCATGGCCAAACCCTGGGACCCCTTCCAAATGTACTAGGATAGAAGAAAAAAAATATCGAGAGAGCTGCGATAATTTTTCTTGGAATTGGAAATATAGAACTATATAATTTGCGGGTAGTATTCTGTTCTGCATTCCCTGCGGGACTATTTGTTATTAGTTGCCATCTTCCCACCCCATTGGCAGCAGATACAATACTTGTCGAAACTCCTAGTGCCTTGCAGATTTTGAGGCTCCTATAAACATTAAAAATATTTTGGGGGGGGAATTCACCCCCAATAAACCTTGCAACACAAACTGTCCAAGAAACCTCACTCGGTCAGTGCTCATATATGAGCACTGGCGTGACCTACAACATGGGGCTATCTAGGCCAGTAGAACGCTCATATATGAGTGCTGGCCTGACCTACAACATGGGGCTATCTAGGCCAGTAGAACGCTCATATATGAGCGCTGGCGTGACCTACAACATAGGGCTATTTAGGCCAGTAGAACGCTCATATATGAGCTCTGACGTGACCTACAACATGGGGCTATCTAGGCCAGTAGAATGCCCATATATGAGCGATGGCGTGACCTACAACATGGGGCTATCTAGGCCAGTAGAACGCTCATATATGAGCGCTGGCGTGACCTACAAACCTCACTCTGCTCACTTGCAAAAGTTTCTTCCGCTATCCCTACTCGAACGCGAGACGCTGGAATCAAAGGCCAGCACTCTACCATTACGCTGGCGGGACGATTGGTGTTAACACGGCGAATTCAACATGCCTAAGCTGGCGAGCTAGTCTATTTTTAGCATATGGACACCGTTGTAGTCAATAGTAGGGGGAACAGTTTTTACTGGGTGCTGGGAACGGAATTAAACCAAAATAAACCAATAGGGTACCTTGTAATAGAACCCCCACTATATAACTACTCTTCCAATTCACAACAAATGTTACCCATTGTTATTTCGTCCTGCAGGAAAACAGTCCTCAAAGTGTACATCAGCAACAATCAGCAACAGCTGCCCACACAGGAGGTTCTGTCACCATATCTACTGAAGGAGACATCATCACGGAAGAGAAACCATTCTTCTCCACAGAGACGATACTGAAGATTATCCTGTGGTTCTTGCTGTGGGGAGTGTTTGTGGAACTGGGGTTTGGAGCTGTATATTTCATTGTGTCTTTGTCCATCATACTATATAGGAACACAAGGACAGGTCCTAGACGGGATGGCCGCCTCAGTGCATACTCTGTGTTCAATCCAAACTGTGAGAGATTGGACGGGACATTCACTGCTGAACAGTTCGAGAAGGAACTGAGACATGGCGCAGGTTCAGTTCATTGATGCTGTGACATTGAGGGAGATACAAGGGTTGTTGCCATGATGTGAGACGTGATCAGTTCTTGCAGTGACATTGGGCATGATCAGTTGTTGCCATGACATGGGGCGTGATCAGTTGTTGCCGTGACATTGGGCGTGATCAGTTGTTGCCGTGACATTGGGCGTGATCAGTTCATTGTTACTGTTAGATGAACAAGGGTTGTTGCTGTCACATGGCACAATATCAGTTCATTGTTACTGACTAACTGGTTTACTGACTAACTTTCTGCAGTGCACATTTTAGTTTAAGGTGTATGTTATTGATAATTGTTAGCACTTGCTCTACATATGTATTGATACCATGGTAAAATTGCAATACATGTATATACAAAAGACACATATGCAGTATGGTTCAAATGCAGCACTGACATAGAGGTACAAAATAAAGGATTCTCGTGTGCTGTATGAAATTTCTGTGCAGCATGTGGTGTATTTGTTGTCATTTCTGTACTGATTTATCTTTCAAGCTGTATTTTAAGTCTTATTTGTCTCTATTTCTTTTCATGTATTTTTAGTTGGATGACATGCATATCTTGTGAAACAGGTAAATCACTATTCTTAATGAATGGCCAGTTACTTATCCTCAGCCTAAAAACTCCAAAGATTAAAAAGGAAACTTAAAACTTGGAGTTCTTCATGGCACAAAACTCAGAATACTTACTGAGGATGCATTGAATAGAAAAATATTTGCTTTGCAGAACAAACATCATGGCTGCTGTTACACATGGTTGTGACTAATGTATGTTTTATCTGGGCTGGTGTATTGTCATGCTTTGTACTTATCTGGGCTCATTGTTTGGTGATACGAATGAAAAGCTTAGGTTTGGATTTATTATGTGCTCTTGAAAACCTTTTCAAAATCATTTCAATACAATGAATCAGGGATAGCTGGAAAGATTGATAATTTAAAATATCTTCCATGGAAAGAACTAGTCATGATTATATGAATTACATGAAAATTGGGTGATTTATAAGATCATACATGCACTATTGTGATGAAATAAAGTGTTAATTTACCAAAACAGACTTGCGCCAAAAACGATGGGCAATCAGTTCATGCATGTCACCAGTCACAAGGGACATGACAAAAGTTGATTTCTTTTGGATGTTCTTGTTCAAAGTTACTATTCCAAATAATTATTGATAATCGATTGATATTAAGATAACCATCAATAGCCAGCTTTGCAAAATATGCTAAAAGAATATGATTAATGAGATCTCAAAATCCTGCAATGATTCAGTCAAACAGTCCTAACCTGACATGCTGAGAAGGAAAATGTGTGCACTTGTAAATACTTAAGTCGGTGTTGCCAAACGTCTTTCATGTCAGAACTGGTGGATGACATCATGAATCAGTCTTGTTATATTACTTCATTGGTGTGAAGGTTTTCCTCATATGTAAATAAACAGCTTGTGTATCCATTTGCAACTTGTTTCTATGGCTACAGCCAGTTTTGTGACTTGAAGTGATGTTTGGTTTAACGACGCTCTGTGCTTATTTCCAGGATGGATTGGTGATGACAATTGTAAACCAGACCTCATATAAAGGAAGTGATGTTTTAACACACATAGCACCACACTTGAGCTTGTTAGAGTAGACTAAAATGAATGGAACTATAATTAATTCAAGCCATTGTTCCACAGCAAGGAATGAGATTTATGTTTTAAGCTACTGGCTTGGTTGGCCCTTGGTTTGCCATTATAAATATTTCATTTACTATCGACTGGAACATATATACATAGATACAAAATATACACTACAGACTGTGTCATGGATCAATACACTGAATCATTTCATTGCTTTACAGGACACTTATATTTCCTGTAATTAAATAGGGGTGCTAGTTTTGTAGGTCATTGTAAAACCCTGCATGGAAATTTGGCATTGGAGTGGTAGTGGTACTTCACTCTTCTGGAGGTGCATATATCCAGGCCAGACACAACATGCAGTAGCAGCAAACAGACTTGAAAATATGAGAAAATACCTTTATTTGGCTATAAATATCCCCTCGTGTAAGTTGCAGCATCAAATATATGTACAAATATCTGTTATCACCATGGTAATTGTAACCGTAGAAGCATTTACATACACCGTAACAATGACAAGTCAGAAAAAATCTCATACATGCTACAAATGTAAGACAACTTTGTTCCCACATGCATAATCAAAACAATAAAATCAAATAACTGACTTCATCACCCAACTGTATAGCCATGACATGACCCACACTTCTTACTGTTCAATGACAGTCATGCCTGTTAAGTGAAGCATTGGAGGATGTATGATCTCTGGGGACTGAGGGGGCAGCAGGTCTCTAGTACCCTCTGCTCTCACAACTTTAAGTATATTTGAACAAAATATTGATACCTATTCACTCACATATTCTGCAATTCATTTGAATATTCCAAGACATTTTGCCCACAAAACTTTCATAAAAATATGATCCAGTTAGTTTATCTCTGACACATTCAACTTACTCTTTGTCAATATGATTCCATTTTCCCAAGGTATCAATGGAGTTTCAGTGTGTAAATACTGGTATATCCAGACAAACAAGCCTCCAGTGGATAGCTATTGCACCAAAATCCATAAAAAAAACATCACAGATGTTAGAGGCACATATTACATTCCTTTTTCTTCAAACATTTATTCATTTTTAAAGTACTTGTGCAATTTTAACTGGTTTCAGGTAAACTTGGAAATGGTGAAGTTATATGACCTGAGTACTGGCTGGCAGTGTACCTATTTAGGAGACTTAAAACAGAGGTTGTTGAACACTGATTACATTTTTACTGGTTTATCTAACCAGTGATTTCATAAATGGATCAAGAAAACACAACAACTTCAAGGTAGAATACCTTACATAACATGATATTTGACAGGTTTTCTCTTGAATGTCCCACAAGGTTGCCGATACCAGCCCCTGTAGACCCACACACATGACAGTGTGTTTAGTATACATCAGATCATGGAATCCACAGGGATGGTATCACTTCCAAAAGTCACTGTGTTCTTTAATCTGTGTCTACTATTTGACATCCCTACAATCCAGGCTGTAGACCGACACTTTGTCATGACATAATGTACATTTCTTTATTAAAGTAGTGTTACAATCATCTATCTGTCTTAGAGCACATCCAAGTACTTGAATCCAATGAAAAGGTCTTTAAATGTGTTCATTTATGTAAAGGTATCACTTATAGTAAAACATTTCAGTTTTTGTATATCCCGAGGTACATCCCTCGTGAGCCACATCGTTCTTGTATAAAGTGTGTTAGTGGAGCATCTAGCAGTGTGTGACAGCTCTATCTATGGGGATGTCATGGCTGCCTTGGCCTCCTGTGAGAGCTCCTGCAGTTTGTCATATCCTTCCACTGAGGCTGGAGAAACACCAAAGGATTCAACCTGGAACATAAGCATGTTAACATACAGAACATTGCTTTGGACAAATTGCTCAAGTAAAGGGAGATAATCATCCTGCTAATGCCATCAATACTTCACGTCACCCTAAAACTTTAAAACCAACTAAGACTTTTGAGCTGTACCAAAGAAACAAAAACCATCATTAGTTGAGCTGTAGGCACAGGACTGGAAGTAAACAAAACAGTTTCAACACTATTTTAGCTCACACAGATAGATCTGCTTCATGTTGTTATTGCCTACATATTCCCAGGACTGGAGCCCTGTTCCCTCAAATATCCCTTCCCCAAAGTTGCCCTGTTCTACCTTCTTACAGGTTGCCACCTTCCTGTTCCCTCAAACATCCCTATGGTAACTGACATGTTCCCCTAAGTAGCTCTGATTGCTACCTTCCTGTTCCCTCAGATATCCCCATGGTTACTGACCTGTTCCCCAAAGTTGGCAATGTCAATGATAAGCTGCTGCCTGATCTTGTCATCGTCTGAGATCCCCTGCCCCCTCAGTCTTGTCTGTTCCCCGAGCCTTCTTCAGGCGCTTCAGACTGTCTTCCATCTTCTTGACCGATGACAACACTTCTGAGGTGACGCCAAAATATCTGGAAATTTGATGTAGAATATTAACATGTTTATATTCTTATGCAGTGCAGATAAACATCTTGTGTTGAATTGTTTATCAGTGAGTAATGAATCATTTAGAATGCCACATTTTAAGAACCCCTGTTGTTGACTTCATATTATTTCTCTAATTCTTGTAACCCCACTCAGTGGCTGGAAGCTTGATCAATAATCTAAGCATTCTGATGATCACTCAGTCACCACAGATCAGCTCTTGTGACGGAAAAGAGGCATCCCCACCTGGAGACATCCATGGGATACCAGAACACTGGGACCTATTCTCAGATGGCATTTCAACCTGGAGAATATACAGGTGGCCCTGACTCTGACCCACAAGCCATACTGCATCCAGAAGATTCAGGTAGTGGTCTTAAGGCATGTACACAGAGGTAGACAACAACTCACTGTTCTGCTAGACTGCTGAAGACTGTCTTGAGGAAGCCTGTTCGCTGTTTCCCTCCCAAGGTCTCTACATGCTCATCCAAAAACAGTTTCAGTGGTTTGCCCAGACTGATGATGTACGTTGATGGTTTGCTGGGTACCTGAAAGCAGATAAGGCGACACACTTCAATTTATCATTAATCAGTCTGTTTCAGGCTTGAGCTAATCTTTATCCCTGTATTCAAGTGAGCATACCACAAGATGAGATTCAATGAAATATCCATATTTTTCCAACATTAACAAATCATTTCTTTATTTCTGTTTAATAAACAATTTTTCAAACTTCTGGCTCATAGTTACCATTATTTATAAAACATGAAGTTTTCCTACTGACACTAATTTTATAAGTCTAGTCTGGACTGTCTTGCCCTCGACAAAAGTAGCGCTGGATATCACCATGAAGCAATCAAGGGGACACAGCTGCTGAGGTGATATTTTGACTCACATCTCTGTTGGTCCTTCTGTACAACCGAGGGATGTCGCTGACTTGCTTGAGGTAGACACAGCACTGACCAATCAAGTCTCCTGACACGAACACCTGGAACTGGGGCAGCCTCTCCAACACAGACAACCCACATTCAACAAAAGTGTCTGAAGCAAACATAAAATATCCGTTACTGAAGTTCTAAAAGTTAGTACTGCAGAGAAGGAAAATGAGAACGTGTTTGGAATCAGATCCTTATTTATTAATTTTCACAAGCTGAATTCAAATACCTGTTCTGACTGTTAATGTTCATGACATTAACAATATAGTTGTGTCCAGTACGTAAACACAATGTATTTACTTGTCATGGTTCACTAAATATGAACCTTGTTATGCAGTTGCGATTTAATACAATTCAACAACGCATCAATTTCAATCAGCCAGTAAACCTCTGTGACCATTTAATAACAATAACGCATAAAATGTTTGGTACAAATACAGCACCATACTTTCAAACTACTGGGCACCAGACAATTATCTGACTTGTCCATGATTCGACACTCATGATCAAAACGTACTAGAGTTTACCAACAGACAACACAATGCAAACATATAACATTTTGCCAATCAAGGTATCCTTCGGTTACTCCAGGTTCTTCCCCAAATTGCTCAGCAATGATTCCACAAATACTGATGAATCGTTACTCAAACTTATCTCTATCGTGTTTGTGTCATTATCATAAATTTGTTTGATAGAAAGTTGTCGTATCTTAACATCACTTAGTTCATCATGTGACAGTAAATTGTAACTTATTGTAACTCTTGGAATCAGGATTTGATCTAAATATATGTAATAAGCAGGGACAAAATGGGTTAAAATATGTGATGACACTGACACTTGGAATGTGAGTTTCGAATAGTTCAACATTAGATAATAAAAACAAGAGTCATCAGAAGATGACATATCCCCCCGGCCCCCACACATTTGAAAGAACAAATCAACGAAGCCCACCCTCCCATTTGAGACTAAGTCCAAAACGTTTCCATATAAACTGGAAAAAATAGAAATGCCCAAAATCTGCAAATAGCAAATGCCACCACTTTGGGATCTGCCTCATATATCTGCCAAGTTTTGCTGAAAGATATTAAGAAGTTTTCAAGTTGTGCTCCGGAAATGAAACCCAACCCTCCCTTTTCAGACTAAGTCCAAATCAATTCCATGGAAACCGAGGAAAATCACAAAAATCTGTAAATAGAAAAAGGCACCACATTAGGTTCTGTTTGATATATATACCAAGTTTTGCAGAAATATATTGAACCAGTTTTGAGTTGTGCTCCAAAACCGAAGCCCACCCCTCCCTTTAAGACTAAGTCCAAAACGTTTCCATGGAAGCCGAGAAAAATAAAAATGCCAAAAATCTGTAAATAGCAAAAGGCAACACCTTAGCTTCTGTTTGATATATCTACTAATTTTTGTAGAAAAATATTGAACGGTTTTTGAGTTATGCTCCGGAAACAAAATGACTACGGACAGACAAATGGACGAGGCATCGACTATATCTCCCCGCATTACATGCCGGGGTGGATAAAAAATTGTCACTGAATTCTAACCTTTCAAGCTGTCAGGGTTGGGAAATCCATCTGCTTCTAGTTTAGGCTTTACAGTGGCGAGGAAGAGGTCCGGGAGCTGAAACATCCAGGACACCAACTTACCAGTTGTAAAACAAGACTGACACATGAGGACAGTGGTCAAGTCCAGAATACAGATCCAGAAACACCTCTGCCTTTGCAAAATGTCATAGCCCCTTTACTGTTCATAAAAAACAGCAATATGGTTCTTAAAATTTGTTTCAGCTGCATATCCTGCAGCTTCCTCTTGCCAATATAATCATTACTATAGTACTGAAGATCCTATGACTGAGAGCAAATGTGGTATTAATCTGACAAACCAATACACAAGAAAGGAGCAAATACTTGAATTCAACTGAAAGTCACTAACCATGTCAGCTAGCCTCTCCGCATCTGCCAGCAGACACACGATCTGTCCGATTGTGATGGGGGGATTTGCAGGGGATGGAGATCTCTCTGGGGGGTTGTGGGGAAGAGGATCTCTGCAGGTCACCCACTCCATTCAGCCTCTCTAGGTTCCCCGTGGAGGACACTGTCCTTAGTTTTGTTGGCTTCTCCAGCTGAGACTCTTTCCTTCTTGCATGCTATCACAGAACAAAATTAATCAAATTCTAATCCTTGACATGTTTTCTCACATTCCTAATATCATTTCAGGTAATACTACCATTTGACAAATTGTTAAATGAGAAACACAATTCAGTCCAAAAATGAAAAATGCTTGCCAAAAGTTTACACTACCGGTAAACTTCCTCAATCAAGTCTCAATCTTAATTTCCTTCTCCAGATCCGCTTCCACCTGCTAATCTTCCCGTACTCATAGCCACCCTCTCAACCTAACCATGCCTCCTGCACTCAAACCTGTCCTCAGCCTACCTAAACTATCCCACCCCATCCCTGACACCCCCAGCCCTCCACCCCAGTCAAATATCCCGCTTCCTCCACCCACCTCCTCTTCCAGCACTTCCTCCAGCCAGGCAGTGTAGCGAGACAGCATCTGCAGGTTGAGTTTTAAGAACCTGTGAGACAGTGAAGACAGGTACACACCATCTCGCCAACAGATCTGGAGCGAGTCCCACAGGGAGGATGTTGACAGTAAGTGGAAACCATTAGCATTTTCTGAAAGAGATTGACATCTTTAGGAATAACTAGTGCTGTAACGATGCATCAAATTATCAATGGACTGCAATTGTTGAGTCAATTAATCGATGGTAGAAACGAAAAACTATTGATGCATCGATGTGAATATCGATAATTTAGTAATTAACTTTCGTTGATAAATGCACAGTGCCAAATACAGGAAGTACCAGATTTGTTCACTTTGATTTAGAATTATCCGCCCCTATTACCTCTTAAACAAACATGGCGGCAAACATGGCATGTGACTCAGAGTTTGAAATTGTGAACTTACAGTAAGTTTATGTTTTAACTGTTTACTTGATCTGGGTTCCAAGTTTCTTGTCAGTTATCAAAAGAGACTGAAACTACTTCAACTTGATTATATAGAATAGAAAAGAATAATACTTTAATGCCTATTCAGGAATTTGTGTTACATCAGCAGAGCTACTGACACATCAGAGAGATACAAAACATATTTACATAAATTCATTGATTTAGGTGTCTTTACATTTGTTTAAGAGAGATATGGTACTTGGAATAAAGGATGTACTGGCTCTCTTAGTTTTCACAATTGGAACTTTGTGGCGGCGGCCTGAAGGGAGGAGGTTGTATTCCAAATTTAAGTAGTGAGTACGGTCAGATATAATTTTGACAGCTTGATTCACGATTTGCCGCTCATATATTGATGATATGCATTCCATATAAACTATATATTCATTTGGGAAATGACTTCAAATGAGACGATTCAAGGAGAAAAAAACTATTGCAATAGTATTGCAATAATTGGTCGCAATAGACTATCACTATCACAATAATATGTGGCAATAGACTATAGCTATCGCAATAGTTGTTTCCCTATCAATAGTCACCCCTAGGAATAACTGTTCTACATTACAATGCAATTACAGAGTCAAACATGACCTCAAGGTTTTCGCAGTGGTAAACAGTGGTTTACAACACCAAACACAATTTGTGAGGTAGATATTCCATGTACATCATGGAATTTGTATGTAAAACAATCATGAATTTTAACCACTCAAAATCAACAAAAGCCACCTGTTAAAAGGATGCTTATAAATCAGTGATGATGAAACACTCTTCAGTTAAGTTAATGTTCTTGGAATGTCCGGGGCATAGATGCAAGCAGCTGAGGCTGCAGGCTTTCCACTATTTGAAGAACTTTAAGAACTGTAGGATCACATCAGTATAGTGGTATAAGAGAAGCATCAAACCTGGGGAGTTGTTGAATCCAGTCATCAGCGATGTTTCCAGAGACCCAGCTATTTCTTGGAACCTGCCAAATATTACAATGATCAGAGACATTTGATGTGTTGCTGCACATCATCTTCTCAATTGTCTTGCAAAAGTACAGCTTTTCACATTCCTTTCATTTGAACAATTCTGATTCTAAACTATTCTTATACAAATATAGCCCTAACTAACATTCCCTGACCCTCTATACACTGAAAATATACACCATAAATTTTACTTAAATATGTAAATGTGTTAATGATGCATCCTCAGTATGAGGACCTAGTAGCCAACCGTCAGTATTCTATGGTCAGTACAGCAACCCAAGTAATCAGCAGTATACCACAGTAGGCCTCCAGTAATCAGTACTCTATGCTCAGTATGATGACCCTAGTATACCACTGTAGGCCTCCAGTAATCAATACTCTGACCAATGCTCCAGTAATATGATGATAACAGTATACCACTGTAAGCCTCCAGGCCTCCAGCTCAGTAATCAAATCAATACTCTATGCTCAGTATGATGACCAGTACTCTATGCTCATGATGACCCAGTGTACCACTGTAGGCCTCCAGTAATCAATGCTCTATGCACACAGTGATGACCCCAGTACTCTACCTGATCTGGAAGTACACTGGGAGGCTCCACTTGGACATGTAGGTGTGGTAGCTGGAGTGTTCCCTCAGACGCTTCACACTGGCTTGAGAACCACACATCCGCTCAAACTTTCCCAGGAAATCCATGCTTATCAAGTATTTCTGATCAGTTGGAGAAAGAAAAGAAAATATTTTCAGGAAGGAACAATCTTATCATAGTTATCTTATAACTTCTCCACCAAAACATAATGACAATACATATGCAGGGCTCCAGATAAGGGCCGTATCAGCATATGTATGGACGAAAAATATGCACGATACGGTAGGGAATAATTTAGAAAACGTAGCAGATACGAACCAGAGCAATGGTGTAAGACCTAAGAATCATTTACAGACGTATTTTATCTGAAAAGTATTGTTTTATTGTTCATTGACCTGTTTACACAAGAGTAGCAATGTTGTGGTGCATATATGAAACGAAACACAAGATTACTGATACTCCATTAATTTCCATTCAGTACTCTAAATGTACTCCTACAGTTTTCCAGTACTCCTACATTGAAAAAGTAAGGAGTACGTACTCCTGATGTTGAAAAATTATCTGGAGCCCTGCATTTGTAATGGAGTGATTACCTCGTGGAAAACATTGGGGTTGCCTGGTGCAAATATGGAAGGAACCCGGGCCTCCAGGTTGCTCACAATCTCCGGCCACACCGAGTTGACCAGGAAGTCGTAGCCCCTCACTATCTCAGTAGTCCTGTAAACATCCACCATAGGACACCATGATATAACCAACCAAACACTAGATTTACAGCTACTAATTCTTCATCATGGTGGATTTTTTTCACTACATCTCAGGCTACATTTGCAAATCTGCTCTGCCCTTGAAGACTTAAATATATAGTTATGTGAGAGGCAAAGCTTCTGTAACTTTGAAAAATCACTATTAAATTGTTTACTAGGTTGTATGTCATTTTCAACATACTGGGTTTGTCATTAATTGCAACATTAGTGTTGATGAAGCCTTAAAACCTTTTGCCACTGTTGGTTGAAGGTAGCTGTGTCTGATGATGAGTATAGGAGAATGTCATCACTGAAATAGAAAGACAAGAGACTTCTTACCCCGAACCTCCACTGGTGACATCCTTGAGTATCTTACACTTCTTGGGGATGAACTCGAGCACCTTGCCATAGAGCCCCTGGAGGCCCTGGCCACTGGAACGGATGAACTGTTCATTGATGAACTGAAAACAAACAATAGTGTGTGCAATATTTTATCCCCATAGGTGCCTCAAAACAGAAACAAGGTACTCGAGACCTATCTTCCCTGGAATCCCTACACAGTTTCAAACAGTGGCTGAAATGATCACATACATGACATAACAGAACAGATACCTCTTCCATGTACGGCTTCACAATATGAAGTTTAAAGAGATTCTCTGCATCCCTGGTCTTGTCAATGAGAGCGTAAGTCCTCAAACATTGGCGCAGGATGTCTGTGTTGCCGGACTCCAGTCCGTCCAGGAAGGATCCCTCCAGGCTGTACTGTAATGTTGTGGTGATGTTGGCTATCCTCTGCAACACAAACAGCAATCACTCTTCCTCTTTTAAAAACCTAATAATGCCTGATTTTACCAGGCTTCAGTGAAAATGTCCAGCAAATTTGTTCATCTGCAAAGTAAAGCACAAGCCTCACCTGGGGTAGATAAAAGGGACAGCAAGATATCTGGACACTGCTACAATTCCCTGATGTTTGTATGTCATTCTAACTTTCCTGAGCTAAAGCATTCAAATAATACTTTACTTTTTTCTCAGAGTACTTTTAAGTCCTTATCTTTCTTAAACAAGAGCCCATAAAGTCCAACTTCAATTCTATCACGATAATTTCTAAACTGAAACATTGACAATATCAGAAACACTTGTGAAGGCCTGCATCAAATAAACATTGTATAGCATAGTTCCAGCACCAAGAACACATGTTATGAAAGTATGCTGCAGAAGCAGGAAGCAGACTTACAGGTCGGATCCTCTCCACCAACGGCAACCCCCTGCTCTTGGTGACATAGAACTGCAGCTTATTGAACTCAGTGGCCACTCTCTCGATCAGCTGACCACTCAGCTGACTGCAACATACAACAGACATGAATCAGTTCATTGAATCAGATTACTAGGGTAAGAGGAACTATTGCAATACAACTGTGATAATGCACAACACTGTATAGGAGGACTCAGAGGCTTCATGTTACGTACATCTCTACACTATTTTAGGGTCTCACTGAAAGGGAAGGGATATTTTGTTTGAGGAAAATTATTACTTCAGTCAATGCATTGGGACCTACAATTATATTCTCTGAACAGATCAGCCAAACATTTCTAGACTAATTAAATCTATATTTCGGAACATGTAGCATGTCCAGCGAATTGTTTCAAAACTGTATTTGTATATATATAGTTCCCAGCATTTTCGTACAGACAAAATTCTTTAGAAATGATCATGTAACATCACGGTTATGGGGTCCTAGTCATTAGAGTTAAAATACTGAAGTCCCTACATACAAATGCGAAATAAGCTTGTGTGAACACCTCCTGAATGTTATTGTTAATACTGAAAAGTAAAACATGAGAAAGATGACAATGTAGTTTTGGACAAAGAACAAGGTTTAACTATACAAGTTGGTCCTACCCTGGATGCTGGGAGTCTTCTCCTGACTCCGATCCCTGGATGCCGAGAAGACGTTCAATCTTCTCCACGGACTGGGTTATGTTCATCAAACGCTGCAAGCAGGCCTGGAAGTACCATGGTTACACTTCATTACACATTTCTATTAGAAACATAAAATCATTAAAAACTGATACAGCTGGGCTCAATTTATCTGTATTAATTAAACCTGTGGAACTTATCATTGAACAATGTAACCGAATAACAATTTCTATATGAAACAAGACATGTAAAAAAGGTTCAAACTTTTGCCTCCTGAATCCTTAGAAAGGTAGGATACTTTATGTTTGACAACTTCTGTATCATATTTTGATGCGACATTTGGGTATAGATGCTTATACTGTGAGTGAGTGCCTGATCCTTACATGTCCACACAACCTGAACTCTGAAGACATTCAATATGTCAAAGCTTTATTATTTATTTATCATACCATACCATATCGCTAATCCCTGTTACGTGTAATTCATGGCACACTTTGAGATCCTAGACTTTATGTATTTAGGCTAGATTATGCATCCAACAAACTAGTATTACTAGCTGTTTTTCTTAAAATATACTTCTGTATTCTCTGTGTTATTATATATTTTCTTTGTAATTCACCCAGATTGAGCTGCGACTACTTTACCTTCTTTTTCTGCACTTCCTGTTGTTTTCTAAGTTTATTTTCAACAGCTGCTATTGCTTCATCCATGGCAGATCTGACGCTCTGAAAGGAATGAATTCACAATCAGCAAACATTTATAAAGCATTCTGAAACAGTGCATTGTCACATAGAACAATTGCTGAGTGCGGCATAAAACTAAACTCACTCACTCACTCACATAGAACAAGCTCACACACATAACGTTACTATGGTTATCTGTACTCATTTAATGTCCTTGTGCAAAAAGGTATATACATAATAAACATGATAAATACTAAGAAGTTACAGCTAGATTTCTCTTCATTGTTCATATTCAAACAATGACAAGGTAAGGGCTTGTCTGTGGATACATAGCTGTAATTCATGAAACAATAATAACCAGTTATATAAATGCCAAAATCCTTACTTGAGTAGCAGTGTGTTGTCATTCAATTGTTTTTTTTCATCATATAACTTCTTCTATTCTAATTTCTACACAAACAATTAAAAAATCAGCAGAGGACGTAACATATGTATACGCGAGACGGTCCCCCATTATGCATACAGGTGCCTACCTGAGAGGGCATCAATAATACACTGTGCAGTGTTCATTCTTGCGCACGGCATCTTATCTTTTTCAATAATGATGCAAGGATCATCACCCACATATGGTAGAAAGGTTCAATGTTTTCTTTTTCAAATGAATCTTATTTTCCACAACATGCATTAGTTTATGACATGGTTTAATTCCATTTCCGGTTGCAATTTGACCCAAAGAAGAAATTCATAATTTTTTAGTGTGCTTTCAAATTCACCAAATGCAATTAGATGATAAATTGTAAATATTTCTAAACAAGCACCTTGGCAAGCCATGCTGACCACCAAGTACTTTGGGGAACCCTTTCAAACTGATCCTGCTTCCCCCAACTATTGTTCAAAATGATTTATGTTTTGGTCAATGATGAACACAAACTCTTGTTATTCAAAATAATAATTCAATTATATTGACATCCAGAACTAGACCAATTAATGGCAATATTTGTAATTGGTAATGAAAAACGCTCACATACCAAGACCTCTTCCTTCAGCTGACCAAGGGGGACAGTCAGGTTGTTAATGGCTTTGTCCATTCCCACCTGAGGTTAAAACAACAAAATGCAACAATATCCAGACATATGGCCATGCAATCTGCTAAGAAAATTATGTTTCTATGCGAATATCTATTACCAAAGCAAACCATTTATACTTTTAGCTTAAATAAGAATAATAATTTGTTTGCACCGAGTTGATATCACAGTTATAAAACTAACAACGTAACACCACTGTACTAATACTATGTCTTGTATTACAACGGATAGAGGACTGAACTGCACTGATGAGGTTAAATATAGCATCACTATTTTCCTGCTGGACCTATGTATGGCATAGTCTCCCAGGCTGAACTGTGGTGATTACAGATGGAAGACAACAGCATCATCACTTGCATATTCCCAGTTGAAGATTAATCAACACTATGAGTGTACCAACCAGGTTAGTTGAGAGGTTGACAAAGTCAGCATAGTCCTTGTTGATGAGTTCTATCATAGCACTCTTAAGAATTTTGAGGTATATATTGAGATCATCTCGCAGTGTCTCCAGCTGAACATGTCGCCGACATTCGATGACGAACTGGTCCACATGGAACTCAGTCTGCAAAGACAAGGAAGAAACATGAAGGTACACATGGATTATCTGGGACACTCATCTGCCATGTTTGTTAATTGCTACTAATAAAGCTGTGCATGACAACATCACTGTTTGAAAATTGGGTGATAAAAGCTCACAATAAGATGAAATATGACTTGATTTGCAATTGTACGGTTCAATATGATTAAATCTGTAAATTGAATGTGATAGCAATAAAGAAAACAACCCATAAACGATTAACAATTTGACATCAACATCAGGATACATAGTGATATATAGTAACCAACTACGTAATGCACGAAACAAGGTGACGTCACATTCTGTGTGCACAAGAATGTGTGATGATTGCAAATCACTTCGGTAAATTAGCGTTTTATTCACGAGTGGAATATTAGGCATTTTCAATTTGCTGAAGCAGTGAATAAAATAATCAGTGAGTATACAAAATATAAACCTGCATTTAAAATATGATTTTCGGTGCACTTCCATCATTCATATCCATTAATCAAGGTTATGCGAGTTTATACCACATGGTACCCACTTGGTAAATACAAATACATTTACATACATTGCATAGGGCAATCCCCTTACTCCCTGTTATTTTAGCTAGGCAACATAAGAAGATGTCTGATGAACTTAGAACACGTAGAAAGGGATCCATAAATGTAACAGATTCAACCATACACTGCATGGGTATGTTAATTTAGTTCCACTTTCCATGTCAGGTTTAACAGTGGATGTGTCATTTCAGACGTAACGATAAACCATAACATTTCAAGCCTGTCATGTTCTATACAGTTGGTTCAATGACCTATGTATAATGCAGGGGACACATCACTAGCTCACTGTTGTACAATGATGCACTTTGTATGCGACGACGTGGAATAAGTCACTCTTTCTATCGACATAACTTGAGACTAGACCTAATACACGCAAATATCGGGATATCCAATATGACTACCTTCATAAACTCTTCTTTGTCGAAACATAAGGACGAGGGGCCTGATGGAAGGGTGAACCCCTTTCCTGCGTCGACAGTCATGCTACCTGTCATGAAACGTTCACAGTTAACTTCGCTTCCTGAAAGTTGTCTGCTACATGGCAATATGGCTGCGGATTGCTGCAATGCTACTTCCTGAACAACGTGTTTCCTACTGTAATTGATTAATATAGTTTTTATAGTTTTTCAGTACATATTTGCAAGATTTGTACCGAGAACTATATTCAAAATTAGAAACAAAATAATCTTTTATCCTACTGATTTCTACTATGGATGAAGAATTCAAAATCGGTCCGGTAAATGAAAGTATGTTTAGAATTGACATAGCAAGCAGTATAACTGTCAATACACGGAACATTCGGTTTTAAAAACGTGGAATCAAAATCAGACAATTGCTTAAAAACGAACGATGACGATATTTGGAAATACAGAACTATTGTTCATATCACGTACGTGACACAAATCATAGTTTGTCACACATCATAGTCTATCAGGCGTACATCTGCTAGGTGTTACACTTACAGTTAAATGTTTCACAAACAATGCTGCCTACCATTACTGATGGGAAAAGCAAAAATCATTCTAAAGATATTTTTAGTGATGATTGTTTGTACTAACAAACAACAAACAACAACAAATATAATCCTGAAAATGTCCTTTTGACTTTTGTCTCAAATCAGGGGTATAAGGGACATACTATTAACAGGGATGCGCAAGGAGGAGAGAAGCTGAGTCTGGGTGGATCCCAACATATGCACAGGTGGCTTATCAATCACTGCTTTGCTTTGGGCCCTTTGCTTTAATCTAAATAGCGATATACCTGGACTGCATCCCGAACCACCTACTCAAAGCAGAAATTGCCGATACAACTAGTTAATTACTACGTTGGTAAGTAGAAAACTCCGTGCTTAGTGCGATGTGGGACTTGAACATTTACACCTCTAAAATATTACCATTTCTTAGCAGATGTCAAGCAGGAGACTATATGACGCCCTGTTGTAGATTATCCCTTTGTCAAGTTGACAGACTGACTACCGCACATGTTTCCAAGGGAACTGGACAATTTAAAGGGGTGGGAAGAATGTGAAGAAATGAAGAAAACTGATAAACCAGCTTAAATAAACAGGACTTTGAAAGTTTCATTCTCTGCGAGGTGAATTCGTTTTCAGTAATTGCTGTCATTTGCGTCTTTTGGTAATTTCTGGTTTTGCCCGATAGTATTTTCGTTTTGTCAAATTATATTATCTAATCTCTTGTTAGATATAGTTTGTACTAAAGTATGTTGAACAATCGTCATTCTAGATCATTCTTAATGATATACAATACACTAGTTATTCACATGTCTGACCGGCACTTTTACGACATCGGAAATGATTTCTGTTAGCCAGGGGAGCTAACTCGTTTCCTCGTTCGAAGTCTGTGTGCGTTTTGTTATTACATTTGTCAAGATTTTAAAGCCTCCCGTAAGTATTTCTCTTTTCACGTAAGTTCTGTGTGTGAATATTTGTCCGACAAACAGCACGTTTTCCTCGTGACATGTTCTGGATTCGTAGGAAACAACAGCTATTCATTCAAAGGCAATTTTAGGGCACTGCTACTGCCAGTGCCATAACCGTGCTAATTCCTGACTCGGCAAAACGTCCCTGATCACAGCTAATTTGATCTGGTGAAAACAGCTGCTTTTTTCGAGCGAAAACGACACTCCTTATATATAATAATAATTTGAACGACATGACCATTGAATATACTCTGGGCATGGTTACCTTATTTACCAGGTTGTCTTGTTTATCCTTGTTTACATCTTGCTGAGAGGCCGTTTTAGCTGTAACCCCTGCAGGAAGGCAGCTGCCTTTTCTACAACCTGATTAGATTGTCAGATCCTTAGGGTGTCTTAGCGAGAAACTCAGTGTACGCAACATTGAGAAATAATGAACAAATGTAAAACCGTAACCTAAATTCGTGGATAACCTTGATTCGTGGAAAACCTATTCGCAGTAATTATAATGCTAAGTTTGTATGACGTCACGAAGCGGTACTTTTGATGTACACACAATGCCACGCCTCGCTGACAAAAATTTCCGAATCTCTGCCTTACATGTAAATACTCTAAATCTACAATGCCATCAGGTAATTCCGCGCACCTAAGCACATCGATCGCAACACGGCAACTAATGTCTCTTGCTGGTATCCATCATATTTATCTAGAAATATAAGTTTTATTGACAACTTTAAGATTCTAATGTTGCATTATGTCATACGGTTGACCTTACCGCCGTTCTGACGACATCGCTTGCTGTCCAGTAATTCTGTGCAGCAACTGATGCGCATAACATCCAGCTGGAGATCCGAAGTGTGAAGCGTATTAGGGCCAGATTATTTTCAAAAATCACTTCATCAATGTAAGGAAGAGTGTTTCATATTAAATCCAATTATGAATAATGAAGAAAAAGTTTTAAAAGTCTGAAGAAAACGAATTTTCATAAAACTGTCAATTTATCTGTCAATTTACTTACCTTTAGTGATTAAAAGCCAGTCCCTTGTAGAAATGTCCTGACTTGTCCTTCCTCAAGTTCTACAAAGCTTCAGTCAACCAAGAGGAGACATCTGCTTTTGATCGTGCCTTTTAAGAAAGTTCAAATGCAACATATGGTATATTTTGGATTACACTTTCTCAGTAAAGTACAGATTCTAATACTTGTTTGGGTTGAGTCTCTTAGACTGAGTAGGGCACCTTATCACTAGCATTTGACCATGGCTCTCCACAGTACCTGCTCCTGGGTGTCCATTACAGCGGTGTGTTTCTGGAGGTCAGAGACAGTCTTTGCATCACAAGAAAGTATTAACAATAAAACTTTCAATATTTTTGAAACCTTTGTTGTTTTCCATTGCTAAATTCCAACTTTATCACAGCGTCATGCATCTTCTCTTGTCCAAGCAATCAGGTGATCTGGGATCTACCTTTATGCCTAGTGTGGCATGAGTACACAACAATGTTTAAGAAAATAATAGAAATTTAATAATCCATGTGCAGTGCAATGGAACTTTATATACCGATTAACAAAAATAATTCCTGGGTCATATTTATTCTTCTGTCTTTTTCTGAATTAGAGGAAAGATTGCATAAAGGGGATAGATTTGAATAAGTATACAGATGTCAGATAATGTCAGATACAAGTGTATTTGGTTATTGCTGTTTGGTGAAGAAGTCTTCAAAAGCCTGTTGCCATTTTCAGTGAAATGTTGTAGCTGCTTTCAGTCTTGTCATACAGCCTGACTACCAAGTGAGTTAAGTAGCTGCTTGATGCAAGTAATGGAATGTGAGGGCCTATACTTACCAGGGTCCTGATAAAGGATCTTGCCTATCATACACTCCTACTAACTATTGCTGGCATGCTTTTATCCAGGAGCAATGTGTTGGTAGGTGAAGTTTTTCTGTTGTTACAGAGATGCCTTGTTGGTATTTCGAGAAGAAAGATATCCGCAACTCAGCATCTGCACAGCATGGCTTGGATGCCAACACTGAGGCGCGGTACCGACGGGAGGGAGCTCGTCTTATACTGGATGCTGGTACCAAGCTAGGACTGTATCCTTGACTTCATAGTACTGTGTATACTCAGTAAGCTACATCCTTTGAAATGGATGCTAGGCCGTAAGGTAGAGACATCTGAATTTGTAGTATTTGGTAAAAAAGTTAATACAACTATCAATTTTACTTACCCATCATGCCAGGAGGATTTGGTATGGTATATCACTGCTTGTGAGGAGCAGCTTGCTAATATTTGTCATGTCAATGTGCCGTTGACTATTATTTTACAAGTTGTCAAGTACAATAATAATAGAAGTTGTTATTTCTAGTGTTATGTGTTCAGAATTATTCTTTTATCTTAACTAATGTTAAACTACTGATGGATCATCACAGACTGATCTATCATTTTCTGTTAATCCTGTAAATGCCATTAGAAACAGAATCGACTTTCCCATGTTAAACCTATGTCTGGCAGAGTTGATCCACCTTTATGCAGGAGAACAATATTGATAGTAACATAATATTGTGGATGAATTCTGAACTGTGTGCATGGTGTGAACTGTGACGTGTATTTACCGAGAATGTTATCCCTTAATGATCCTCAGTCGCTATGATACATGTTCAACAGGAGTGGTGTACTTTCACAGATTTTACATGTTCCACTCATTCAAGGAATTCAACAGATATGTAAGTATTCAAGTCATATTGCACAGATGATTAATATTTCTAGACTTTTCAGAATTCTTGTTGCAAACCATTATGTCTGTCTCTATGTTAAGTATCCATTGCACCTCATACCACAAATAAATCAACATTTGTTCAAACACTGTCTGAGACCGTAGATGTCTTAGGTTGTAGCTGTTTGTGTGTTAAGGTGACAGCTGCGTGCTGCCTATTCCTGGCGGGGAAGGTGGAAGAGACGCCCAAGAAGTGTAAAGACATCATCCGCACCTGTCACGGCCTCCTTAGCCCCCAGGCCTTTGCTGCCTTTGGAGATAATCCTAGAGTGAGTTGTCGTGTGCCAATCGGGAGTCTTTTCTAGGAAATAGAAACTACATCCCGGTAGGAAAAATGATGAAGGGATGGCAAGCTTTTTTAACAGTCTTCACAAATGTTACTGGTCAGGGCTTAAATTCTGTGAAACTCATGAAATAATTGGACAATATATCCTCAAGACATGGCTCAATTGTAAGATATTTGGATATAAAAGTAGTTTCATAACATGATTTACACCAAGTACGAAATATTCATAGTATATGCTTGATTACTAATGTTATCTGTTCCATGTTCTTATATGTTCACAATACAGCAAACAAACATGAATTAGTGAGGCTGTGTATGTTATGGGCCGTGTAATGCTCTCAGCATGTGTCTCATGCTCTTCCTGTGCATGTAATGCACTCCTTGTGTGTAATGCTCTCCCCGTGTGTGTAATGCTCTCCCCATGTGTGTAATGCTCTCCCCGTGTGTGCAATGCTCTCCCCGTGTGTGCAATGCTCTCCCCATGTGTGTGTAATGCTCTCCCCGATGTGTGTAATGCTCTCCCGTGTGTGTGTAATGCTCTCCCGTGCAATGCTCTCGTGTGTAATGTCCCATGTGTGTAATGCTCTCCCCATGTGTGTGCTCTCTCCTGTGTGTAATGCTCTCCCCCGTGTGTGCAATGCTCTCCCCATGTGTGTGCAATGCTCTCCCGTGTGTGCAATGCTCTCCCCTGCAATGCTCTCCTGTGTGTGTGTGCAATGCTCTCCCGTGTGTGCAATGCTCTCCCGTGTGTGCAATGCTCTCCCCGTGTGTGCAATGCTCTCCCCGTGTGTGTCTCCCCATGTGCTCTCCTCCCAGTGTGTGATGCTCCCCATGTGTGTGTGCTCTCCCCCCATGTGTGTGTGTGTGCAATGCTATGCTCTCCTGTGTGTGCAATGCTCTCCCCGTGTGTGCAATGCTCTCCCCCGTGTGCAATGCTCTCCCATGTGTGTAATGCTCTCCCCGTGTGTGCAATAATGCTCTCCCCCGTGTGTGTGTGTATGCTCTCCTCATGTGTGTGTAATGCTCTCCCATGTGTGTAATGCTCTCCCGTCCCCGTGTAATGCTCTCCTCGTGTCTGTGTTTTATGTCCTCCCGTGTGCAATGCTCTCCCCCTGTGTAATGCTCTCCCCATGTGTGTTATGTTCTTGTGTGTGTAATGCTCTTCCCGTGTGTAATATTGTTCTCCCTGTGTGTAATGTTCTTCCCATGCGTGTAATGCTCTCTCCTTGAGTATAATGCCATCACAGTGTGTGGAATGCTCTTCAATTGTGACTGTCTGCAGGAGGAGGTGATGACACAAGAAAGGATTCTGCTGCAGACCATCAAGTTCGATCTACAAGTGGAGCACCCTCACAGCTCCCTGCTGAAGTTTGCCAAGATTCTCAAAGGTACGCTCAGCATCTCATCTCATGTAATCTGATTTCATGTAAGATTTCCAGTGTCTCATAATTTGTATTCAGTACATCAGTACTGATATCTGTATGCGGTACCTTGATCTCTGTGTACTGTGTGTTGATCTCTGTACAATGTGTTGATCTCTGTGTGTGTGATCTCTGTGTAATGTGTGTGATCTCATCTCTGTACTGTGTGTTGATCTCTGTGTACTGTGTGTTGATCTCTGTGTACAATGTGTGTGATCTCTGTGTACTGTGTGGTGATCTCTGTACAATGTGATCTCTGTGTCTGTGTGTTGATCTGTGTGTTGATCTCTGTGTACTGTGTGTTGATCTCTGTGTACTGTGTGGTGATCTCTGTGTACTGTGTATGGTGATCTCTGTGTACTGTGTGTGGTGATCTCTGTGTACTGTGTGTGGTGATCTCTGTGTACTGTGTTGTTCTCTCTGTACTGTGTGTTGATCTGTGTACAATGTATTGATCTCTGTGTACAATGTGTTGATCTCTGTGTACAATGTGGTGATCTCTGTGTGCTGTGTGTTGATCTCTGTACTGTGTGTTGATCTCTGTACTGTGTGTTGATCTCTGTGTACTGTGTGATCTCTGGTACTGATCTCTGTGTGTGTGTGATCTCTGTGTGTTGATGATCTCTGTGTGCTGTGTGTTGATCTCTGTGTACTGTGTGGTGATCTCTGTGTGTGATCTCTGTGTACTGTGTGGTGATCTCTGGGTACTGTGTGTTGATCTCTGTGTGTGTTGATCTCTGGGTGTGTGGTGATCTCTGTGTACTGTGTGTTGATCTCTGTGTACTGTGTGGTGATCTCTGTGTGTGTCTCTGTGTACTGTGTGTTGATCTCTGTGTACTGTGTGGTGATCTCTGTGTGCTGTGTGGTGATCTCTGTGTACTGTGTGGTGATCTCTGTGTGCTGTGTGTGTGATCTCTCTGTGTGTTGATCTCTGTGTACTGTGTGTTGATCTCTGTGTACTGTGTGTTGATCTCTGTGTACTGTGTGGTGATCTCTGTGTACTGTGTGGTTGATCTGTGTGTGTGTGTTGATCTCTGTGTACTGTGTGTGTGTGATCTCTGTGTGTACTGTGTGTTGATCTCTGGGTACTGTGTGGTGATCTCTGTGTACTGTGTGTTGATCTCTGTGTACTGTGTGGTGTCTCTGTCTCTGTGTACTGTGTGATCTCTGGGTACTGTGTGTGTTGATCTCTGTGTACTCTGTGTGTGTGTTGATCTCTGTGTACTGTGTGGTGATCTCTGGGTACTGTGTGTTGATCTCTGTGTACTGTGTGTGTTGATCTCTGTGTACTGTGTGTTGATCTCTGGGTACTGTGTGTTGATCTCTGGGTACTGTGTGTTGATCTCTGTGTACTGTGTGTTTATCTCTGTGTACTGTGTGTTGATCTCTGGGTACTGTGTGTGTGATCTCTGTGTACTGTGTGGTGATCTCTGGGTCTGTGTGTTGATCTCTGGGTGCTGTGTGTGTGTTGATCTCTGTGTGATCTCTGTGTGGTGATCTCTGGGTACTGTGTGTTGATCTCTGTGTACTGTGTGTTGATCTCTGTGTACTGTGTGTTGATCTCTGTGTACTGTGTGTTGATCTCTGTGGTACTGTGTGTTGATCTCTGGGTACTGTGTGTTGATCTCTGGGTACTGTGTGTGATCTCTCTGTGTGTTGACTGTGTGTGTGATCTCTGGGTACTGTTGATCTCTGGGTACTGTGTGTTGATCTCTGTGCTGTGTGTGTGATCTCTGGGTACTGTGTGTTGATCTCTGTGTACTGTGTGTTGATCTCTGGGTACTGTGTGTTGATCTCTGTGTACTGTGTGTTGATCTCTGTGTACTGTGTGTTGATCTCTGGGTACTGTGTGTTGTTAATCTCTGTGGTCTCTGTACTGTGTGTTGATCTCTGTGTACTGTGTGTTGATCTCTGGGTACTGTGTGTTGATCTCTGTGCACTGTGTGTTGATCTCTGTGTACTGTGTGTGTCTGATCTCTGTGTGTGGTGATCTCTGTGTGCTGTGTGTGATCTCTGGGTACTGTGTGTTGATCTCTGTGTACTGTTGGTGATCTCTGTGCTGTGTGTTGATCTCTGGGTGCTGTGTGTTGATCTCTGTGTACCGTGTGTGTTGATCTCTGTGTGTACTGTGTGTTGATCTCTGGGTACTGTGTGGTGGTGATCTCTGGGTACTGTGTGTGTGATCTCTGTACAATGTGTTGATCTGTGTGTTGTTGATCTCTGTGTACTGTGTTGATCTCTGTGTACTGTGTGGTGATCTCTGTGTACCGTGGTGATCTCTGTGTACTGTGTGTGATCTCTGTGTGTGTTGATCTGTGTGTGATCTCTGTGTGTGTGTGTTGATCTCTGTGTACCGTGTGTGTGTGATCTCTGTGATGTGTGGTGATCTCTGTACTGTGTGGTGATCTCTGTGTACTGTGTGTGATCTCTGTGTACTGTGTGTTGATCTCTGGTGTGTGTGTGATCTCTGGGTGCTGTGTGTGTGATCTCTGTGTACTGTGGTGGTGATCTCTGGGTACTGTGTGGTGATCTCTGTGTACTGTGTGGTGATCTCTGTGTACTGTGTGGTGATCTCTGGGTACTGTGTGGTGATCTCTGATACTGTGTGTTAATCTCTGTGTGTGTGTGTGTGATCTCTGTGTGGGTGATCTCTGTGTGTGTGTGTGGTGATCTCTGGGTACTCTGTGTGTTGATCTCTGTGTACTGTGTGTTGATCTCTGTGGTACTGTGTGTTGATCTCTGTGTACTGTATGGTGTGTGTGTGTATCTCTGTACTGTGTGTTGATCTCTGTGTACTGTGTGTGGTGATCTCTGGGTACTGTGTGTGGTGATCTCTGTGTACTCTGTGTGTGTGATCTCTGTGTACTGTGTGTGTGTTGATCTCTGATACTCTGTGTTGATCTCTGTGTATGTGTGGTGATCTCTGGGTACTGTGTGTGTTGATCTCTCTGTACTGTACTGTGTGGTGATCTCTGGTGTGTGTTGATCTGTGTGTGTGTGATTGATCTCTGTACTGTGTGTGATCTCTCTGTACTGTGTGTGATCTCTCTGTACTGTGTGGTGACTCTGTGTACTGTGGTGATATCTCTGTGTGTGTGATATCTGGGTACTGTGTGTGTTGATCTCTGGGTACTGTGTGTGTGTGATCTCTGTGTACTGTGTGTTGATATCTGTATACTGTGTACTGTGTGTTGACATCTGTGTACTGCATGTGTTGATCTCTCTGTACAGTTTGTGTTGATCTCTGTACTGTGTGTGTTGATCTCTGTGTACTGCATGTGTTGATCTCTCTGTACTGTGTGGTGATCTCTGTGTACTGTGTGTGTGATCTCTGTGTACTGTGTGGTGATCTCTGTGTACTGTGTGTGTTAATCTCTGTGTACTGTGTACTGTGTGTTGTGGTGATCTCTCTCTGTACTGTGTGTGGTGATCTCTGTGTACTGTGTGTTGATCTTTGTGTACTGTGTGTTGATCTCTGTGTACTGTGTGGTGATCTCTATGTACTGTGTGTTGATCTCTGTGTATTGTCATGTTCCAGGTGACAAGGAGAAGGTACAGAAGATTGTTCAGATGGCCTGGACATTCATCAATGACAGGTATGTTATTTGTCATGCTGTTGCTGCTTTGTTTAGTTCACAGACATCACAGAAATAAAAACTACTTGCTTAGTACAGAACCAACTTGCCGCTATGAAGATAATGGTAGGTCCTTTGGTAGTTATGACGAGGCCATCAACCAGAAACTGTAATATTTGTGTTACGGTAAATCCACCTGCATGTGAACACATGTGTATGATGTCTATTTCAGTCTGTGTACCACGCTGTGTCTCCAGTGGGAGCCTGAGATCATTGCAACATCATTGATGTACCTGGCGTCTCGCCTCCAGAAGTACGAGATCACAGACTGGGAGGGTAAATCACCTGGAAGAGAAATGAAGTGGTGGGAGTTTCTCCTGGAAGATCTGTCCATGCCTTTAATGGAAGGTGAGGGAATTAGTTTTGTCCTGGTCTGTACTTCACTCAAACTGATCAAATTACACAGCTTGAACATTCCACACCCAAGCCCATATGGCTCCATGTTTAGAATCCATTCAAATATATTTACACGATTATAGTACCGATCTTTTATATAGTAGTACATTTTCACCAGTATAGTGGTTGTTCCCCTTTCCCAGTTGCACCTGATGAGGTGTCCAATCAGAGCTGGAAGTCAGCTGTTGCCTTCAGGCCTGTGGCAAGTACCAGTACAAGTTGGACCTGTAGTTTCAATTTTGTATGGCTTGCTGTAACTTAGTTGCTTGATTATTGTCACAATAAGCTGCATTTATTTTAAAAAGGGTTTAGAGAGACTAAAGAGTGTAGTTTGGGCCTGGTAGGTCCTTATGGCATCTAGCTATGGATAATGCTCTTAATATCAATCACTGATTTATCTTGTCATGCTTTCATTACTTGCCAAGCATGTTCCATGCCACTGTGATTGACTGGTAGCTGGACCTCTGTGGACATAAATTCTGCAAAAGCCTCACAGAGTTGGTCTGACGTTTTGATTATGATCAGTGTTTCATTGAGTATTTTATGTTTATTAGTTTTCGAGTTAGATTGCAATTCATCGGTCTGCTTTTGAGCCAAAGAGACTATATTAAGCCAGAATATTTTCAACCCTGAGTTTTTTATTAAACTTTCAACTTATCCTATCTCATGGAGTCTAGGGATCTTCAAAAGATAAGGATTGTGCCGTAACCTTGCTTCCAAACTGCACTTTGTTTATTGTTCCATAAAGTATTTGTTATTGAAGGGGCCAAAGCTCACTAGAATGTTAATGCAGGGTGCCCAGGACCTTTTGTTTAAGAAAGAGGTATGTCACCATCTTGATGCAAACCAGATGCCAGACATGGCACGTGTGTCTAACATCATAACATTGCTGCGGTCCTGCTGAAGGAACTGTCTACTTGTTTTGGAGTGGCATGCATCAACCCCGTCAAGATCTGGGTTAGAAATGGTCTTCAGCTACCCACGCTTGTCATAAGAGGCAACTACTGGGATCGAGTGGTCAGACTTTCTGGCTTGTTTGATGCATGTGTCCCAGTGGCATCGACCGATGCTCATGATGTTAATCACTGTATTGTCTGGTCCATGCAAATTGGCAGACTGCACTCACATAGCTGGAATGTTGTGAAGTGCGTTGTTGGACAAACACCAACAGAATTCGAGTGCACAAATACTCACTGGATCTGTTGTTGTAGAACTTGTTGTTCTTCCAGATCTGTGTCATCAAGTGTTGGACCTGTACTCTCAGCAGAACAAGGACAGTCTCCAGAAGGGGGAGTCCCCTCCGCCAAGTCCACCCAAGATGGGAGCCCCCACCCCTCCCTCCCCTGCAGTTGCAAATCGGAAGAGAACAGTAAGTTGACATCACATGTTGTATCACCCACCACACTGTTTGACTTTCTCGCATCCATTCTGTAAAGACTCAGAATCTGACCAATGATCAACATAAGCCAGGCTATGAAATATTGCCTTTTTTCATAAAGTTTAAAGCTAGGGACATTTTGAAATGTTTGAGCATTTTGATTAAGATAAGATAAGATAAACTTTATTGTCCCACAAGGGAAATTTGTTTTGCATTCAAAGAGCCAATACAAGCATATAACAACAAATAATTTAAAGTATATATACACAATGCCAAGCTAATCAGAATATAATGTTGAATTATAACATAATCAAAGTTCATGATATAATAATCACTGCGTGCCTCATCATAGATTTCACTATTACAATTTTGAAGGAAGATTTAGAAGTTTTATGCTGTATGGGACAAATGATTTTGAAGTTCTATTAGTTTTGTAATACATGATTTTGAAGCGGCGGCCAGAAGGCAGAAGTTCATAACATTCATTTAAAAAGTGTGATGGATCCAACTGAAAGGCCAGAGCTTTCTTCTTAACTTTTGACTCATACTGAAAAGGTAGAAGTTGGGGCTTTCTATCAATATAAAGATGACATATATAGATTGATAATTGTCAACTAAATATTGATCGATTATCTATAAATATCAGAAAAGTAACTTTGAGCCAAAAATGCCAAAAATGTCTGAAAATATTTTTCATATATGTTTTTGCTTGGATTATTACCAAACCAGCATCCTGAACATAATTTAGAAGCAGACCATGCATAAAGTCTTCAATTTGTATATTGTGTGAGAAAGTTAAACCTTTTTTTCTGTCACAAAACTTAAAATACGATATTATCTATAACACAATTTTCATGTCAGTAGTCATTAATAATTGTTTCTGATGATACCAAGATATGCTGGGGTCAACTGATTATTTCCTACAGCTAAGATTTGATGTTGCTCATGAAATGTTTCACCGTAACAACATTGTGGTGAGCTAGTGCCTTTTAAGAAAGAAAACATATATGCAAGGTAGAGTCTTTTCGTTAATGATATATTGATGAAAGTTTTCGATGTATTTTGACCCTTGTAACATCTTTCAACATACGGGCGATGGGGTAGCCTAGTGGTTAAAGCGTTGGCTATGCGCCGAAGACCCGGGTTCGATTCCCCACATGGGCACAATGTGTTAAGCCCATTTCTGGTGTCCCCTTGCACTGATATTGCTGGAATATTGCTAAAAGCGTAAAAACTAAACTCAGTCAGTCAGTCTTTCAACATACAACAAACTTTACACTAGTGAGAGAGGTACACAATGTATATGATCTAGACTTCTTGTCAGAATTCTATTTTTATGGAATCTGCAGTGACTCAGTGGGTTAGATCTCTGACTGCTGGCGATGAGGTACCTCACTATGAGGAGCGGGTTCTAATCCAAGATGGGACTCAACCTAACAAAAGTACTAGAATATGTACTTTTCTGAGAAAGTGTAATCCCAAATATTACATATGTTGCATTTGACCACTTTCTAAAAGACATTGTTTATTCATGTCTGTTGTGAGATCATTTCATGTATTGAACTGTTGTTAATCTCTTTCTGTATTTCCACAGAGCTCTCCAAATGAGTCAAAGAAGTCAAGAAAAGAGGTTCCTGAAAAGAAGAGCATGAATGGCACCCAAAAATCAGCTCCCCCTCCACCGACAACTGCTGTGACGACAGTGGCGCCCGACTAGCGGTATCTCCTCTTACAACCCCTATGTTGACCGCAGCATGTACTCCTCTTCCTTCATGTCACAGGAGGGGAGCCAGACAATTCAGCCGCTGATATCAGGCACCCCCTCCACCACTGCACAGTATCCCACCTACCCCCCAGGTCAGACTCAGCCTGCTGCTGCACCCCCTGCCCACTATCCTGTCCCAGGCTACCCACAGGCAGGGTACCCACCTGCAGCAACATATGCTCAGACAGCTAACCCCCAGTACACTGCAACCTCAACAACTGCAGCACCCAGACCCCCCTACAATACAGCCTTTCCCCCTAACTACCCTCCCCAGCAGGTTACCCAGCTTCCACCCACCCTCCGCCAACTCAACCCTACCCTGCCCCTGCCTACCCTTACCCCCCACAGTATGGGTCACAACCACCCCCACATGGCACAGCAGCACCCCCTGTAGGTTACCCCCCAGCTGGTGCCCCACCTCCTGGTGCTCCTCCAGGTGCCCCGCCAGGATTCCCACCTGGGGCTAGATTCCCACCCCCACCCCAGGGAGGACCACACCCAGTGCCACCAGGACCCCCTGGGGGTAAGTCTCAGAAGAGGAACCCTAGCATGGTGTCCGGTATAACAACAGTGAGGATAACAGGACGATGACCTTACTGCTACACCGTAGTGAGTGAGTGAGTTGATGCTACACCGTAGCATGTTTTAACTGATTAGTATGTACAGAAGAGAATGGAGGAAACAATGGATTATTATGAAATGTGAGCTTGGGTTCTTGAAGAGTGACATGACAGTAAGCTGGGTACTTTGTTCTATAGTGGGAAGATCATCTTCATCATAAACTGAAGTGTTCACAGATCTTGTTGCGTGGTCAGTTGGTGATGATAGTTGGAATGTATTTCAAAGTATTTTCGAATGTGATCATTTCATCATCTTCAGTTTTGTTTTATTTGAAGTTATTTGTTCACTGAATGCAACTCACATTCTCTGATGAAAATACCAGAACTCCACGACTAGCTGTGTCACTGTGGTGGCATGCTCCTGTCGTGGTAACTTGTTGGATGTTATTGGAATATTTGTTCAGTGTTGGAATTTCGGGCCTGAATATTTTTCAAGGTTTCTCCGGACCATTCCTGTACTTGCTGGTTTCAAGTGGTAAAAATCTGAAGCCTAAATCATATTGGGCTTTTCACTGAAATCAAACAAATATGTCTTGATATAACTGCAATACTGTTGAAAGGAGCTGACTGTTGCCATGGTAACATGGCATGATACACTGGTAGGTTAAAGAACACCCAATATTTTCCTTTTGTCCATGACATCCAATATGGTCACAGGAAACATAGTCAGGTCTTCACTTGAGTAGTAATACTAGTATGTTACTGTTTTGTCAACTTCATTCATGACCTGGTCTCTTGTTCTGACTAAGTCCATGCAGTATGTACCACCAGCATGACAGACTTAGCTAAGACAAGACTGACTGTTATTAGTGAAGTAGAGCTAAGTCACAGGTCATTGAGTAATGGCTGTATTAGCACATAGAACAGTCTGATGGAATATGATAAATAGAATTGTAATGAGACCATCACAATTAAATGCTACATGATTTATTACCTCAGCTGACCTGTGATATGTCAGGGGAGTAATTATCATAATCATAATTACATGTAAGCACTTCCATCATTAAGTATTTTCACTGTTTTATGCTCTTGGCAATGGCAGCCTTAACACACACAAAATGTATTTGAAAGAAATTTCATGTATATTTTGACCAGATTTTTCCAGAAGAATATGAAAGTGTTTGTAGTATATTGTTTTTGACAACTAAAAGGAACTAGTGTTTGTCAACTAAAGGGGAGGGGGGATGGTCTTTCCTCGATGTTACAGAGTTTGCTTGTCACACTGAAGACAAATGTTTGATTTCTCATGTGTACCATTTCTGGTGTCCACTGCCGTGCTATTGCTGGAATATTGCTGAAAGTGGCATAAAGCCAAACACTCACTCACTTACAGACGAGGATTTCCACCAGACACTGTACTAGCTCCATGCTATGACCTTGTGTTGGAAGAACGTGTTACTGTTGGCGAGGTTGTGTGCCATTGCTGCCATGTTTATGTTATTCAGTGAAGTTCAGTTTGTAACAAGCAGAGAGAAGAGACAGGGATTGAGGGATGGTGTGTACTTTAAATGTTGATGTGATTCAGTGAAGTTCAGTTTGTAACAAGCAGAGAGAAGAGACAGGGATTGAGGGATGGTGTGTACTTTAAATGTTGATGTGATTCAGTGAAGTTCAGTTTGTAACAAGCAGAGAGAAAAGACAGGGATTGAGGGATGGTGTGTACTTTAAATGTTGATGTGATTCAGTGAAGTTCAGTTTGTAACAAGCAGAGAGAAGATTGAGGGATGGTGTGTACTTTAAATGTTGATGTGATTCAGTGAAGTTCAGTTTGTAACAGAGAGAAAAGACAGGGATTGAGGGATGGTGTGTACTTTAAATGTTGATGTTATGAACCTTGCATATCTACAAACTGGTGTACATGTTGAATGAGATTTGATAAACATGAGCAAATAGGAATGTAAAGTATCAAATCTTGTGAAATAAATGCATTTATCTTGATGTTTTTTAGTTCTAAATATTTCCTTATTGCACAAATTGTTGAGTAGATGTAAACAGTGTGGGCTGAACACGGCAACTAAATGAGGATTGAATGGCTACAATGTTTGCTGATAAACGGACTTGTTTCCATTAGACTGTGTTGCCACAATTTATAGGTGCAACAGAGTTGCCATTCCCCATATCATCTAACTAGTGGTTGCCATTCCCCATATCATCTAACTAGTGGTTGTCATGACCGGAACATCGAACTATGGTTGCCATGACCAGATCATCTAACTATGAGTTGCCATGACATCATCTAACTATGGGTTGCCATGACCGGATCATCTAACTATGGGTTGCCATGACCGGATCATCTAACTATGGGTTGCCATGACCGGATCATCGAACTATGGGTTGCCATGACCAGATCATCTAACTATGGGCTGCCATGACCAGACCACCTAACTATGGGTTGCCATGACCGGATCATCTAACTATGGGTTGCCATGACCGGATCATCTAACTATGGGTTGCAGTGACCCGATCATCTAACTATGGGTTGCCATGACCAGATCATCTAACTATGGGTTGCCATGACCGGATCATCTATCTCTGGAGTTGCCATGACCGGATCATCGAACTATGGTTTTCATGATAGTGTGCTGGTATGGTTATGATGTTGGTGAGTTTCACTTTAAGTGGCAAATGGCCTTGTCCTGATTTAATTGATAATACAAGTTTTCTCCCGCATTTAACAACGATCTCCTTGGAAATGGAAAAGGTAGGGTCGGAGCTTGATCTACTGTTATGTAGTGGCATGTTCGTGTCTCCGTAACTACACAGACAACTGCATCAGGACCTTTCAAGTTCTAAATAACTGGTGTGAAATATTTATATACAAACCTTTATCTTTATTATAGCGTGTAACAGTAAAATATAACAAGAAATGTGCAAATGTCCGAAGTCTCTCTGTGTGTGTGTGTGTGCACGCGCGCATGTGTGTGTGTGTGTGCAAGACAGAAACGCAACATCGGTTAGCTGTGGTTAGAATTTAATAGCAATTATGTCATCACAGGTACAGTTTTTACCCTGAAACAAAAAACCCACAAGTATGGAGGTGTAAGTCGATGAAAGGGTGTTGATATTGATACGTGTACTGTCATAGACCTTACTGTCGCAGTTGTGGAAGAATATATATGTAACAATGTAAAACATTATGAAGAGAGCGCCGAAAAGCTTTCGTGAGTACAGTCTCTTCTTATTATGAATATGCGCGTTTGATTACAAACAAGAGAAAAGTCCGGTCACGTGATATGCAAATTAGCCTGTGGCAGTGATGTTATGTTAAGTCATCGCTGTGCCGGAGTGTAGCTGCTCATGTGTCCGGACTAAACGGCTAACAACGGTGTAATAATAGCCCAGAATTCGTCCAATCGCCTTAAAGGACATTCCTGCGGTATGCATACCAATAATCTGATTCCTAGTGTCGATTGACAATCGTCTCAATGCCATGTTCCATGAATATGCTTGAATGGCCGTTTCAGCCAACGTTAAATACCCACAAATACAGTTGGGCCATACTGCTTTGTGTTATCCTCGAGGGTAGCATGTTGCACGTGCATGCCACAATCGACAAGAGCGCGATTGTCACGCATCACTGGTTATATCGTCTCGCGCAAACTCTACTCTTCCCATAATTATACTTGTATCACTATTTCAAATAATGGGGGGGGAAAATCATCAAAAGTATCAGGGGGTGCTTAACCTTTTTTCTTTGAGTATAAATTTATAAACAGATTTAGCAAAGATTACCCAATATACAACTATTGTGGAGTGCAGTTGATCTAAATGGTTTCTGCAGCCCTGTTCGCATGGCATGCTGCAACACGTTTACTGTTTCTAAGATGCCAGACCGCCTCGTGGTGTAGTGGTTAGAGCGTCTGCCCGGAGAGCGGAAGGTCACTAGTTCGATCCCCATACCCAAAGACGTTAAAATATGGTACTTGTTGGTCCCTGCCTGGCGCTCGGCATTAATGGGTACAACACGGACTGGTGGGATATTCATGCTTAACTGTGGCATGGTATCTCAGTGAGCTAGCTCTATAAAACCGGCTTAAGTCTGGGCTAGTACCAGCAGCCACACATACACACGCATGCACGAAAGTATTCTTAAGTGCGACGTTAAACCCCATTTCACCTCACCTCTATGATGCAAAGAGGCTTTACAGTGGGAATAATCATTTTAATGTTGATACTGCAAATAAGATTCTCAAGCGCCACAAAGCACTGACCTATGTTTTAAATGTTCAATATGTTCTTCGCACAAACAAACGACACTCAATTGTTTTAGAACACTATATCGGTTAACCACACACCAGGAAGCTTGTTTTACATACGCAACAGAGCGCCTGCTATGATTAATGTATAGCAGTTACTGAAGGGCCCTAACATAAGACTGATTCAACACACAATATTAGAACTACTCAACTACAGACTGCTCATGATAACAGTGTCATGAGAACGAGATTGTGTGCCGTTTCCTGCACAATTGGAGGGTTGTTCCAGGCACTTTGATTGTATTATAAATCAGCGCTTCTCGTGTCTCACTACCTCCAATCGAAACTGAGCGTCGAGACGTGCTTTCTCTCCGCTGAATGTAATATCCGATGGTGTTTGCCGATGTTGGATGAGGCGGAAGAGCTTAGTCAACAGTGTCGGATGCATACAGATAGTGTACTGAAATAACTGGTACAATAACGTCAAAGTAAATATACGGAATTGAGCTGCACACCACTTGAAGGATGTTTCTGGATGTTTGACTTACTGCCTGAATGCGACTTAGAGCACCACTTTCTGTAGGTATGTTCTACAGTCAATGATTATGTGTTACAGCTTTTCCGATAATTCAAGAGCAGACCTAGTGCGGTAAACCGTGTACTAATCAATGGCTCCTAGTTGCAATGCCTATTAAGGACGAGTTAGGTAGTCAGTATGCTTTAATAAGAAAAATAACCATCAATGCCTATACTCCGCAGTGCTAATGTACATCCTAGTATGACAAATACGATGACGGACTTAGTACCGTAGCTCCAGTGTTGTGATTGGGAATGACAGACGCAAGAGTCACCCAATCCGGTTACATCCACGTGCGATAGGACTTCCGTGGAAAGATAATACAGATGATTTACTACTGAGTAACTGAGGAGTGAGTGAGTGAGTTCAGTTTTACGCCGCACTCAGCAATATTCCAGCTATATGGCGGCGGTCTGTAAATAATCAAGTCTGGACCAGACAATCCAGTGATCAACAACATGAGCATCGATCCATGCAATTGGTATACGATGACATGTGTCAACCAAGTCAGCGAGCCTGAACACCCGATCCCATTAGTTGCCTCTTACGACAAGCATGGGTTACTGAAGGTACATTCTAACCCGGACCTTCACGGGGAGACAAGCATGGGTTACTGAAGGTACATTCTAACCCGGACCTACACGGGGAGACAAGCATGGGCTACTGAAGGTACATTCTAACCCGGACCTTCACGGGGAGACAAGCATGGGCTACTGAAGGTACATTCTAACCTAGACCTACACGGGGAGACAAGCATGGGTTACTGAAGGTACATTCTAACCCGGACCTACACGGGGAGACAAGCATGGGTTACTGAAGGTACATTCTAACCCGGACCTACACGGGGAGACAAGCATGGGCTACTGAAGGTACATTCTAACCCGGACCTTCACGGGGAGACAAGCATGGGCTACTGAAGGTACATTCTAACCCGGACCTACACGGGGAGACAAGCATGGGCTACTGAAGGTACATTCTAACCCGGACCTACACGGGGAGACAAGCATGGGCTACTGAAGGTACATTCTAACCCGGACCTACACGGGGAGACAAGTATGGGCTACTGAAGGTACATTCTAACCCGGACCTACACGGGAGACAAGCATGGGCTACTGAAGGTACATTCTAACTCGGACCTGGGTTACTGAAGGTACATTCTAACCCGGACCTACACGGGGAGACAAGCATGGGTTACTGAAGGTACATTCTAACCCGGACCTACACGGGGAGACAAGACAAGTATGGGGTACATTCTAACCCGACCTACACGGTACACATTCTAACCCGGACCTACACGGGGAGACAAGTATGGGTTACTGAAGATACATTCTAACCCGGACCTACACGGGGAGACAAGTATGGGTTACTGAAGGTACATTCTAACCCGGACCTACACGGGGAGACAAGTATGGGTTACTGAAGGTACATTCTAACCCGGACCTACACGGGGAGACAAGTATGGGTTACTGAAGGTACATTCTAACCCGGACCTACACGGGGAGACAAGTATGGGTTACTGAAGGTACATTCTAACCCGGACCTACACGAGGGAGACAAGTATTGGTTACTGGGAGGTACATTCTAACCCGGACCTACAGGGGGAGACAAGTATGGGTTACTGAAGGTACATTCTAACCCGGACCTACACGGGGAGACAAGTATGGGTTACTGAAGGTACATTCTAACCCGGACCTACACGGGTCCGGGATAACTGAGGATATTTCAATTGTGTGACCTTCCTGATGATGTCCTAGCGATGTCGTGGACTGTTGCTTGCTATCAACCACTGGTTCATCTCGTCTACAATCGTACGTTGGCAAGCTGCCGCGATGAAGCTGTAATGTTGATGCCTCAGTCAACTGTTTGACGCAACATTCAACTGGATGCCATGGCAACCACTTATTGTATGTCACTTGTGGAATCAGCAGTCAGGTTCTTGGCGTTGCAGTTTCAAACTGTCTGAACGCTACACAACACATGTCCATCATCTCAAGGTAACAACACCATGCCATTAACTGACAAACAAAATACTTTATTAGTCAACAACGGTTTGGTATACATTCGTACATAACGATAGTCAGTATTTACACGCACTGTACACTGAGGCCCTTGGTGGTGAATATAGACACTGTAACAAAATTGAGGCATGTGACAAAATGACCGTCTTCAGTACTGATATCACTGCGATACATATGAAATCACCGTGTCATCAACGTCATGTTCCGCATCACGCAGCAAGCAGCGGCGGCGATGACCACCAAGTATTCCTGTAACGGCCAATACTAGCCGGCATAGCAGCCGTTCCATCTTCTATTATCAGGTGTATTGTATATCAACTCTGTCAGAATATATACCTGGACCCACGTCTACTGTACATAGCTTCGGTTTGAACTGTGTAAAATGTACACGTCACTGAACATAACGAAACCCCGACTCAACCCTTGAGAGGCTGTGTGCTATGGTAGTGACAAGAGAGATGTAGATGAAGACGCTGATTCCACAAAGAATCGATGGCGCCTTACGGTAGATTAGATTATCGAGGTGTTTGGAAGATTTGAATCAATCTGGCTGGGACTACTGTTTTTCCTGAACTATGTCCCCAACTGGTATATTGCTTCACGTCACAAAACCTGAGTGGATTCAGGACATTTACCGACACGATTACATTACCCGCTAAATGATAGAGGGTGCGATCGTCCCACACGAATACAACAGTGTGGGGAGAGTGAGTGAGTAAGTTTATTTATTACGCCGCTTTTAGCAATATTCCAGCAATATCACGGCGGGGGACACCAGACATGGGCTTCACACATTGTACCCATGTGGGGATTCGAACCCGGGTCTTTGGCGTGACGAGCGGGCGCTTTAACCACTAGGCTACCCCACCTCCCCGTAGGTGATTGTGAATTATGCTCCCCTTCAAGAATCAATTTCCAGATGCAGGATCTAGGAGAGTTCATAGAAATACCGAATATAACAGAATACTGATGCTGTATCACCATACTGATGCTCATCACGAAGTATTGTGTCACCAACATCTGTCTTGACAATGGGGATTCATTACATTGTTTATACTTTTGGTATTCCCGAAATTCCACTGCATGCCCATCCGTATATGATCCATGGTATTTCATTAATACTCTCTGATAGTGATGAAAGTGATGGAAGTACATGCGTTCTTTCCAAGGCAAAAAGGAAAATGGAAATATCAGATCGAGTGGGGTACTGAGTGTGACTTTGTGTGTTGGATAATTAGCTCAACACTTAAAAGAAATACCTAGAATTGATATTAGAACTTCTTTGAGTGGCATTTTAGAAGTTGGGAAGTACAATATAGAACATATAGAATTGATATTAGAACTGATATGTACAAAGACTGTCCACCCGATGATAAAGGCACCAACAGTAAATCTTTCAATGAAACGATAACCTCTGTGCACACACACTCATATCGTATACAATGGACGGAATGTTGTAAACCATCGTGCCAAACACATACAGAAAAACGACGTCACAAGATACACAGTGAAGGTAAGTCTGTTTGCGAGCCCTCTCCTTCCACCGGTTACATTTGTCTCTGCTCAATTAGGTTAAACATATAGCGAGGCATGGCAGGCCTTTTGAGCCTTGATCCTAACCGATAGATTGTCTTATATCTTAAAACCTAAGGTACCGGCCACTGACTTGTATCAGTCTAGCTAGGAATCCTAATTGTTTTGGTACCTCGATCCTAACTGGTATGTTGCTTCAGATCAGGGTCACAATAGTCAACAGCGTAGTAACGCTTTCACCAGTGTTATGGTAGACTTGTAGAGGACCTTTCCAAATTGTCGCAACATTCACCCATCTGCAGTTCCCTATTTCCATCGCACTAGATGTTCCAGATGTTCAGAAATATATAAACTGAAAACCGTAGCTTACTTTAAATTTCCATCATTAGGCCTGACTTAGCGGCCACGTGAGTAGTGTTTGAACTACTTACATCAATCCAGCTAAGCCGCCAATAATCATCTCCTCACTGATGTCGGAGCAGAGACCATAATAATCTGTTATATGGTCTCTGGTCGGAGGGAAAAAACAACAGACCACGTGACTCAACTATTGCTCCCATTGGCAGAGGTTAATGTTGTTTCTAAGCTTCCACCTTAACAGAAATCTAGTACAACGACCTTACAGGTAGGTTTACCTTACAGGTAGGTAGGTTTACCTTACAGGTAGGTAGGTTTACCTTACAGGTAGGTTTACCTTTAACATGATGAAAGGGAACTCTATTGTCTGCAATTGTTACCAACGCCGCTTTTAGCAATATTCCAGCAACATCACGGCGGGGGACACCAGAAATGGGCTTCACACATTGTACCCATGTGGGGAATCGAACCCGGGTCTTCGGCGTGACGAGCGGGCGCTTTAACCACTAGGCTACCCCACCCCCGGCTGAATTCAATTGTTCAACTCTGGTATCACGTGTAGCAGTTATACAACCGTTACCAGACTGATTTTCAAAGGTTTTCCTATATTCAAGGTCCATATCAAGTCTTTCATGATAAAATTTCGTCCAGGGCTAAACGGTCAGTGGTGCGACCAACAGGTGAGACCTACAGTGGCGGAGTCAGGGATCTGTGGTCTACTGTGATACGAGGGAGTGATGTGCAGCTTTTAACTACTGCCATACGAGGAAGATACAAACAACATTTACCTACTGTAATGGTACAGGTTTCAACAACTGACTTGTTGGAAGCAGAGGTTTACAGCTGGTGGTCACAGTGACATCAACGCAATGTGAAGTTAAGGAAAGCACATTTTCCTACATTTCGTTAAAAGAATGACCGTGGCTACCTATGTGTAAAGTACTTGAGGGTTCCATCCCACCCCGATCCCCCGCAAACCCTCCCGCCCACCACCAGACCTCCTCCCCACCCCACCCGCGCACTCTTTATCGCCTCTTTAGAGTCAACTCTCCACACATTGCTTCCTGATGCATCTGTGAGCTGATATTACGGTTAGGTCCCATACTGCCTACAGTTCCAAACTGCCTACATCCCAAACTGCCCCAAAAAATATTGTAGGCAGCGTGGGAAATGATTTTTTGCCCTGTAGAATAATGGAACAGCCCAATTATCAATGAAAAAGGGATGTGTCGTTTGGAGTAAGGTAGTAGTAGTTATTTGATTTATTTAATGTCGCACGCACAACTAAGGTATTTCGGCGACGGGGTAGTACACTTACACAAGAAATGAGGGGAACAAAAAATAGAAATTTTGAAAGAGTGGTGTTACTACCAAAAAAACCCACCCTCAACAACAGAGTATTGAAATTTGAATCGGATGCCGAATTAAAAAGGTAAAAAGAAATATGAAATAGGTAGAGAGTATTAGAGATTTTGAGTTTACTGTAGATGTGGTGTAGAAAATGGTTATTGTTATTGTTTTTTTTAACCAACCCATGTTTAAAAACAAATTTATTAAGTGAATAATGATAAATATATAAAAGGTAAATAAATGAACTTATAGAGAACTGATTTAAAAAGTTTAAAGTACATATATACATATTTATAACAATTTTTAAAATGGTAAAAAATGGCACTATTGTTTTTGTTGCTAGATTGTTTGGTATCATTTTGTATAAATGAGAAAAAGCGTTAAACAATCCTATAATCTCCCGGCAAACTCCAGTATCTTCACAGCAGAACTCGCAGCCATAGTTCAGGCCTTGCAAACAACATCTGACCAAACAAACACTACCATTTGCATTTTTACGGATTCCTTAAGCTCCATACAGGCTCTCATAAATTACTCTACAACAACAAGACCATAAGATCTAATAAATAACATATACAGGAGAATACTATACCACCAAAACAAAAATATTCAAATACATTTTATCTGGGTCTCGTCACATATCGGAGTCCATGGCAACGAAATGGACATCCTTGTCAGTTGTGCGTAATTGTGAAACCAGTAAAACACTGTAAAACCTATCAGTTTTTCATGATATATAGAGAATCTCACCCGAGTGTCTTTTGATATAAAATATATCACCACGAGTTGTGCTTGCCGAGGATATTTTTACTTTTATCAACGAGTGTGAGATTCTATTCATCATCAAAAATCACTCTTCATTAGTTTTCAATGAAAAATGTACATCTCTGAACACAGTACTGCCATTGTACAAAATCTACTGTCAAAACGATATCTCCTAGGAGATATCGTCTGATCTCACACAATCGATATCTACTGTGGAACACAGTTTTAGATGATAAATCCATGTCTCCATGTAAAGACGGAGAATTCTCAGAATGAATAAACCAACCAACACTTGTCATTTTTAAACTTCTGTAGGCAGAGTGGGAAGACACCATAGAACAGGTCAGTTCATTAACCAAGTAACTGGTCAAGTTCATTTTAGCAGGGGTATAACAGGTCAGAGCGGTGTATTCACTTCCTGATCACTGGACCGTATCATGTTGTTTTAACCTGTAGGCAGTTTGGAACTGTAGGCAGTATGGGAATACACCGATATTGCCAGGGTCCGCGGACAGGCTAGAGGTGATGTGTTTGACGGTGTTTATCGAGGTTATCAGGGGAATGTCGTGATATCTGACCACAACCTGTGACGACCTTGACCGATCCAATGATTGTGTGTTGTCAAGGATGTTGATTCAAACACGACCTCCGACTGTTACAAGGGAACTACCTTCGCAGATTTCTTTGATCCATTGACACTCTTTTTGGACTGTGAGGATTCTTCCTGCAATGGACGATCAAGTAAAAATATCATGCAATGAACACATTCATTACGAGCGGCGCAATAGAACGTTTTACTATGAAACAGATGGCGACCATGTGATACATGCGGGGAGGATATGGGCAGAGGTAGCTGGTAGAAATTGTACCTAGTTTAAGACCTACATATATATCCCCAAAAGGTGAGTATACACACTGAAAAAACTATCGCAACACCTATACTTTTTAACCTACATTTTGACCCTTTGAATGCAGCATACATTGATTTAAGATAAACAGGGATCACGATCACAGGCGAACATCACAAGGTGCAAGATATGATGGTTGTCACCCACCGACTTTCAGTCGATTGGCCAGAAACATCAGCGAATAAACGACGTTAATGGCCGTCAGCGTTGTCGACCACGTGGGACAACTTCATTGAGGATACTGCCCAGAATCACAAGACTTCATCTGTTCATGTAAAGTGGCGCGTTGAAAACATGGTAGTTTCCAGATCGTCGTCTGTCCAACAGACCGGTCCGAAATCGCCTACAAACCACCGGGTGTGGAGCCAGACGACCTATCAGACGCCCGTTGTTATCCCAAGGGCACACAGCAGCAGGACTTGGTTGATGTCAAGCTCGACGTCACTGGAATTCGAGGTTGTGGAGAAGCTCCTCTGGTCGGACGAAAGCCGACATCTTTTATTCATGAGTGATTGCCGTGCTCGCGTTTGGCGCCGCAGAAACAATGCACAGGCACAACGGATCTTGGATTGAGTACCGTTTGGCGAGGGTTCATTGGTGGTGTTGGGGTGCCTCTCACATGACTGTAAACGTGACCCTGTGACCACCAGACATCTGAAGGGACAACAGTACATCTCTGACATCTTAAACGGGGTTGTTGTACCACATTTCCATGGCCATCCTCTGAACACAAGGACAGTCTTCATCGACGACAACGCACGTATCACTGATTTGTTTCGACGTGAACTATACTATTGCCTACAAGGAGTCCAGATCTCAATCCCATGGAGCATGTAGGGGTCACAGAATACGCCAGAGAGGTCCTCCACCGATGTATTGGAACAGGCCCTGCACCGGGAATAAGACGCAGTTTGATACAGCCGGTGACAAGGAGGATCAGTGATGTTATTGCACAACGAGGAGAGTTCTATGGATAATTGAACATGTCACTGCATGATGTTATTGCAGTTTGAAGAGTTACACCAGATATTGACATTATGCTCGGTTATCGATACTTGACTTCTTGGGGACAGTATGCCAGAATGGTGAACATGATCTCACTTGTAAACGTCGTCATGCGACCGTAGTTATCAGCTTTACAAAATGAGTCAGTAATGTAACATGTTTGCTGCTCTTAATTAACTGCGGTTTTCCATTCTTTGTGCATTTAGATTTGCCATTTGATTATTTCTTGAGGGACAGGTTATCCAGATAGTAAGTTAAGTTGAGGTTAGGAATAAGTCCTGTGCCATGCGTGATGGTACTATGATACTATGTTAAATATAGAGTATTGCGATACCTTTTTCCGTAAATATATATATATATATGGCTCCTTCAGGAAACTCTTGTATGCTCTCACGCATTGCCAGACAGGGAGCTTGACCTTTTCAAAATACTAAATTAGTTCGTTGTTCCTTTGAAAGAACCACAGAAGGTTTACGGTGGGTGCATAGGAACATAGGTTTGACATTTCAACATAGAACGGACAGAATAGGACAGGTTTCGAGAGAGACATGTACTTTGACATAGATAACATGGGATGGGATACGAGATGAGCATACATTTACTAAAATAATAGGTGGGATGTATTCTCTGCTGGGTACACGTCGAAATAAGCATACATTTTGAGACGGGGTTGATTTATTTCGAGATGCATTTCAAGGTCGAGGAGGATGACTGGGCGAATTCCGATACAGGCCTGCATTTTAATATTTGATGACCTGATACAGTCGTCTCAGGGACACTGACTTCCTGATGTGCATGAACTTCGAGAGAGAGGTGGCTAGATACTACGACAGAGACCTAAACTGCGAGCGAAAGGAGCTAGGGATCCCAGCTGTGCAGTTGGGGCACTGGACACATCACGACATATACAGGCTATATGAGGAACATAATACTTCATAAATACATGTACAAACACTAGGCATGTGATAGATACTTTGGTTTTACATATTCTTTAAAGAAATATTTCAATGAACGATTGTAATGCCCCGCATGAATATTTAACAAAACCCACCCTGGCAACCCCAAAATAGAATATATGCTTGACAAAGAAGACAAAATGAGACAAAGCATGAGCATATGTAAGGTCAAGTATTGGAAATATATGCAAACATTCTAAGAATTGAGTAAAGGCACAGTGAGAATTTTACAAACAGCTCGTTACAGGAGCGAAATACAGAGATATTGTAAAATCAGCAAAATACACAAATTCGCGGAAATAGGTTAAGCAGGAAATATCCTAAGAAATATCAAGAGTCGTATTTCCAATATGTCAGTTCAGACGTTCAATTAATGTTAAATTAATTCAAAATTACAACATCGACAGCTATAAAGAATAAAAAGAAGTCGTTATCCATAAAACGTTTCATGTATTATCATTGTTTGTCCAACTTCTAAATGTCTTTCAAGAATTTCAAACTACAGCCATACTTCTCATCCGATGTAGTGTGAAAACAAATGTTTTAGTATTGGCAAATGTATTTATCATCCAAAACTGTGTTCCACAGGGGATATTGCTTGTGTGAGATGAAACGATATCTCCTGGCAGTATATTTTGTACAATGCCCTGACAATGCTATGACGTCATGAACTTGATGACGTCACAATGCTATGACATCGCTGGACTCCAAGTCTAAAGGCAGAACCCTGTTCAGAGATGTACATTTTGCATTGAAAACTAATGAAGAGAGATTTTTTATGATAAATATAATCTCACCCTAGTGTCTCCTGATATCAAATACATCAACACTCGTTGATAAAAGTAAAAATATTTGTAACTTATCAACTCGTGGTCATATATTTGATATCAAAGGACACTCGTGTGAGATTCTCTATATATAGTTGTGAATGTGATCAAGAAGTCAGTGTCTCTGCATGCATGCAAAACGATTGGTCTTTGGGGTTTGTAGGCAAGGAAAACCCCCACCCCCTTGTTTATTCATCCTGCCCATCATACGAATTTATAGATTATATACACATAAATATTTGAGATAAGTATATATTATTTTGCAAAAGTCACCATTTGCCAATACCTCCTAATCCAGTCTTAATCAGAACCTCCGAGCCTGGCCAAACTCGGTGGTATAAGATGACGCCAAAGTTGATCTTTGCTGGACTTTTGCTGCCACAGTTTGTGCAGATCATACATCATCCCCTATCAGCCTGACATGGCCATGCTGCCCAGTGGTGGCTCCACAGTCCACAGTCCACAATGCACACAAACAGCCAAACACGCTCAGCGGGATGGTTTACAGATGTCAAGTGATTGGGAAGAAAAGTTACTTCTTTTCTATAACGTTTGACTTCCTGCATAACCTCCCTTTGTCCGTGAGCCAGTCGATATATGAGTAACATACAACTGGCTACAAACTAAGCTGGTACCATCAAACCTCTATGGGCCTTCTGGACAAGCTTGCAGTGTCATGAGACAGAGAGACGGGGATTAGGAGTTGATGTGCTACTGTAGTAGGCATATATTTTCTGTGTTAGTGGTTATTCGACTAGAGGTAATAAATTAATAATAATGGTATCATGCAGTCGGAAGTTTTTGTTTGAGGTTCTGCTGCTGGGTGTAAGTATCTCTTTTCAAATGAGCTGAAATGATATTTGCGATCAGTTGGAACAAGCTTGTCAGAACATTGTCTGTTGCCAGAAGTGAGGTTCATACGATGGTCAAAGAGGATCAGCTCAAACAAGTACAAGGAGGTGGGTTTGGAGCCGGCATGGCTGCTTCTAGCTATTTTCAAAATTATAATCATGCCATTCTTGCTTGTCCCACCAGGTTATAAAACCGCGATTCATTGTGGTTTAAACGGATATTTTGAAACCAACATTCTTTTCATAGGATATGACATCTGTTTCCCGAGACATGATAGTAAAGTCCGGTATTGAACAAAACCCAATTCAGTTCCTCGTAAGTGAGAATGTCACGTGTCAGCTTTAACCAGGAAAGCAATTGTATCGCAGGATACACAGACCTAAGGGTCAACTTAATTGTGGCAAGATGACAAAAGAATAGAAATATAATCTATATATAACTGCTAAAGTGTACATTAATTGACTTATTTGTAAGACTACCTTGGTCATTAATACCAGAGGGAAGATATCAGAGGACAGCAGAGGACATGGCAACATACGTCCCTTTTTGAGTCAATTTTCAGTCCAAGCAAGTCATTCAAACATCACTTTGTTTACAAAGTGAAATGCTACGATGTTTATCAAGCACCTAAGGGTAACCATTTCACACATGACTGTAGCATACAGCGCCTGGAACATTCCTGGTAAATGACCGCGGCCCGTAACATACAATGATCGTGTTGTACCAGTGACTGACGTCATGACCAACGCTTTACGACGCCAAGAGATCAACTAAGACAATACACCTGACCATCCAATCCGTAAAGATGGTGACGTATTCTCACACTCTGTAGCGGAACCTACCTTTACTACTCATGAGGATAACCCTTGTATTCTAGCTCTACTACCCATGAGGATAATCCTTGTATTCTAGCTCTACTACCCATGAGGATAATCCTTGTATTCTAGCTCTACTACCCATGAGGATAATCCTTGTATTCTAGCTCTACTACCCATGAGGATAATCCTTGTATTCTAGCTCTACTACCCATGACCCATTCTAGACTACCATGAGGATAATCCTTGTATTCTATTCTAGATAATCCTCTAGCTCTACTACCCATGAGGATAATCCTTGATAACTCCTTAATCCTTGTATTCTAGCTCTACTACCCATGAGGATAACCCTTGTATTCTA